GGGGGTTCGGCATTCGATCTGCGGCTGACCTTAGTCCTCTGTCGTATGCATGTGGCTGGTGCCAAGCAGTGAGCGATGTGGCTCGGTTGGGGGTGGCAGGTGAGGAGCGGATGTTTGAGGAGTTTTTCCGCACGCCCGAGGCTACGACCTTGTTGGACCCCTGGTTTGCGAGAGCAGTGGATCTGCTTCCACAGTCGGTTCGGCAGGAGATGCCACCCCTTGCCTTGTGCACCGCTGATCCGCCTATGCTGCTCTTCCCCACACAACACCGTCGCCTGGCGGTTGAGAGCCTCCAATCTCTTCGAGGCATGGCCCACAACGATGCCACCCTGGCCCGTTTGACATCCCTTCAGGGCCCGGGGGCTGGGGCGTGGGTTTCTGCCGTTCCTTCGCACGAGGAGGCTACCTTCACCGCAGCCGAGTGGAGCATCTGCGCGTCCATGCGCCTAGGCCTCCCTATTCAGCAGCTGATAGTGGCCGGCAAGTGCGCGTGTGGGTTTGAGTTTGCTGATCCCTCTGACCCGCATCATGCCCTTCGCTGCAAGTATCAGTATGCACCTTCTCGGGTTCACGATGCGGTTAAATTTGTGGTGGCGAAGATAGCTAAGGGTGCGGGTGGGATTGTGACCATGGAAGACGACACGTTGCTCCCAGGGAAGAGGGTTGATGTGGCGGTTCGGAAACTGAGGGAGGGGGAGGAGCACGCGCTGGAGGTTAGTGTGGTAGATCCTATCTCGCTATCCGCGCAGCACCATGGACAGATTGGTCGCAAGGTGGGTTTTGCCGCGAGAGAGAGAGAAAAGCGGAAGACGGCGGACTACAAATCGCTTCTACAGCGGCATGGGGGAGTGCAGTTCACACCACTCATTGCTGAGACATGGGGATGCTTGGGGGGGAGTTTTGGACGGTGGCTTAAGAAGCAGGGTGACGCGCAGATCGAGATAGCAAAGACGAAAGGGGCGGCGCGAGCTACGGGAAAGGGTTTCTCGGCTTATTTGCTCGGATCGCTCAAAGCGGCTGTGGGTGTGGCTTTGCAACGGGCTCAGGCGCGTGTGATCTTGTTACGCGCTGCGTCGATGATGAGAGGCCCAGAGGCTGTTTGGGTGGAGCGGGAGGATGTTGAGGAGGAGATGGGATGGGATGCTCCGTGGGCGGATGCACCATACTTGGTAGACATGCGGGTTTAGGGAGTGGGTTTAGGGGGGGAGGTTTGGTTCGATGGGAGTGCAGTTGGGGTGCTTTGATGGGAGGGCTTGATGGTGTTTTAAATGTGTGTGCTATTGGGGTTTTCTTGGGGTTGTGTGTGCTGCTTTTTCTTCCCCTGTTTTTCTTCCTCCTATCATTTTTCCCCTATTCCCCTCCTTCTTTCTTCCTCTCTCCTTTTTTCTACTCACGTTATTCCTCCTTTTCTCCTCTCTTCCCGTTTCCACTCCTTTTCCTTGCGTAATTATGCTACATTGTAACAGCAAGTACCTCGATTGCTATTCAATTGTTAAAAAAAAAAAAAAAAAATTGCTCGAGACAAAATGCAAAAAGTGGCTTGTTGAAAGCTGTCAGAGATTGTATATCTACAATGGCTGTGCACAATAGACGAGTAACATTACTAACTCAAACCATATCAACAAAATGGGGAATTTTGAGTGTGAAGGAAAAATATGGGAAAGAGAGGTTGGTTATATTTAGTCTGACAGTGTTGGAAGACGAACCGGCGAGATCGCTGTTATTGTGGACACGGGGCAGCGCACGGTATTTGTTAACATCAAGCATACTTGCTGCCTGTTTAACAATACGATATGCTCACATTGCCAAACCACATAATAACACCCTCCATACCAAACCACCATTCAGCTCCACCATTAGTTTATTTAATAAAATCACACTACTAGTAGCTGTTCGGTGTGCAGCCGTTGCAGTACGACGATCTTCAGAGCCGTCACACATGGTTGACAACGGGAATTGTCAGTCGTAGCAGGCTCAATACACGTCCCCCAGCAACCCCCGGCCTCCTGCCATCAACAGCACCAATCTCATACTTAGTAGGAACCGCTGGGGGACGGCAAAATGGCGGTAATGAGTTTTGGTCATCTCATCGCACAAGCCGCCTGCTCAGTCTCCTGTATTCTGTAATAGTAACGTAGTACCAACCCCCTCCCCCCGCCGATGTACCGACACAATCTATAAAGAAAAGAGGACATGAAATGCCACGGCTAGTACTGCCTCCTCAGTCCCCTTGCAGCGACAATCTCCGGCATGATAAGAACCGTTTAGAAGGCTAAATGGTCGGAGAAACGACACACCCGGTTGGCGCCAGGACTAGTACCGCCTGCTCAGTCGCCTGCACCCCGCAGCGACGATCGCAGGCACGTTGGCGACTTTCGCTGCAAGACTCGTCGGCCAGACGACGGCTGTCCGATAGCTCTGCCGCCGGCTCATCCGCTTGTTGTACTCCGCTAAAGCCGGACGCGTTTTAAGCAGCTTCTGAGAGAGTCCTAATCGGTCTACAGAGGCGAGAGCCGGTGCAAAGCAGACATCCGCAACGGACGCTTCCTTTCCGGCCAGGAAGACATTGTTTGGGTCCGACAGAGTCCGTTCCGCTTCGTCAAGGAGCGCCTCGAGTTGACGGAGCGACGTCGACGCCGCGTGTCCCGCCGCGATCGTCGCTTCCAGCGTTTGGTAGCGCGCCAGCAAAGCGCCATACGCGCTGACGAGATCGGGATTGCGCGCCATGCGCTCGACGCACACGCGGCGGCGGAAGCGCGTGACGGACTGCGCGGCGCCAAGAGACATCTTGGAGTAAGCGAGCGCCTCCTCGTCCCACGACGCGACGCGGGTGAGCCATGTGGCAGCCGCGTCGCGGTCGACTATCGAACCGCCCATAGGCTGACCGATGCTGTCGAAGTACCTGCAGTGGGGGCGTACAGGGATTGGATTATGTTGTAAAGGGAGCATTACGAGTTGGACGCATGGCGGAATAATGCTCTGAGTTGATAGAAAGGAGATGGTTCGGCGTCACGGTCTATACGTGCCGATGCTCGGTGAATTTTTTTCACACGGGAAACGTTGCTCTGAGCTGGGAAATGCTGAGGACGCAATTGAACATGAGAACAGGAAGGGAAGAACGACTGCCAGAAACTACTGGCAGGGTGCCAGTTGAGTCTGCCAAATTCGTAGTATGACTTCTGGAGGACCTTCAGGATGAAAACGACGCGTTTATGATGGCATTTTTAACAAAAAAGTATTTACATAAAAGACCGACCTGAGGATCTCATTAGTGTCCGTGATTGTGTTGCTCGAGGTAATTCTTTAGTTAACTCAAAAATTACCCCTTATTAAAAAGGTTATTGGTGAAAGACAGACCTGAGTATCTCGTTTGTGTCCGTGAGTGTGTTGCTTCCGTAAACGAGAACGGGGACCGTTCCTTTCGGATTGAGACGCAAGAACCAGGGCTCGAGGTTCGCCGCCCCGACAAGGTCCACGTGGCACAGTCGGCAAGGAAGGCCCTTTTCTTCTAGCATCATGCGGACTTTATGGCAGTCGAAGGAGCTATTGCTATAGTATAAGTCCATGGCGTATCGACCGTTAACTACGCCTTCAAAGTGTCAGGGACGATGCTACAAGACTGAAGTTAAGCAAAGTGCCAGCCACTATGCTACCAGACTGAAGTTTAGCGAGTTTGGGTTCTGGGTTGAAGCATGTTTGACGCGTGGCTTGGGGGGGATGGAGTGATGGAAGGAGTTGAACATGTGGAGCGGAGAGATGTCGGGTTGGGGGGAGAATTCCGTTGTACATTTTGGCACGCACTGCTCATCCGTGCGAGTCGCACATTTTGGGCTCCAAATCGTCCGTTTCAGCAACGGATCGCGTGAAATCGATTAGGATTTCGCGACTCGTAAAAATGCCGCATTTCACCCGTTATCGCGACTCGCCTATTTGCTGCATTTTGCTGGGCTCGAGGGCTAAGAAATGCTTCTCGTATAAGTTGATCAACAAGCATGTCTTGAAGCTACAAAGTTGTTCTCCAAGTAGCGAAACAATCAATACAGAAATCAGGCGCGGTACGAGGCGACTGGCTCGGGCATATGAGTAGGCTGGCTTTACGTGCTTGTCAGCATTGACCAATAAGCGCCCAGACGTTTACCGTGGATATTTTCCCCCATTCAGGACTTGACACCTGCTGGCGGCAAACCAGTTCTCACCTCATGCAAACTATCTAGCACATTTGAGATCCACGTAGACTGGATAAAGCTGCTAGGCATCTCTTCGTCCAATTAAAGAGCTTAGTTGACCTCCAAAAAGATACGCTACGGAGAAGAAAGTGGCGAATCTGAGTGGGCCTTTGCTGACTAGCCTTAGCCCCCACCCGTAACACCCGCAGCTTTGTTGTCCAGTAATATCGTCCCAGCTTCGTTGCCCAGCTTCAACATCACAGCCATAGCTGGGACAGCCCGCCAAGTGAGCGGATCTGCCACTGGGACCACCGACGCGCGGCCTGCCGTCGTGGCATGGCCTGGTTGCTCGTTTCCGATCGCGCTGGACGCTTCCGATTTAATTGGACCCAGCAGACGCATGCGGATGATCCACCAAACCAAACGAAGCTGGATCGCGCTCGTTCCACTCGTTGTTGCCTCACATGCTCCTCTCAACAAGCATGCGACCACCTCGCCTCACCTCTGCTCACGGGCGTGCCATCGTGGCAGTTTGCTGTTGCTGAGGGCCAATCTCAAGGCCTGATCCTTTCGCCTTCGCCCTCTCGTCCACTCTGCGAGTCCGCACCCTTCCACTCACTACCTTCAACTGGCTCGTTTGATCCAGCGTGCTTCTGTCCAGCGTGCTTCAACTACTCTCTTCCACCACTCGACGCTTTTCCCCCCTGGCCAGATTTATAACCCAGCCTTTTGTGAGGGTTGATCATACAGTAAAAGCTCAAGTTCGACCTTCCCTCGACGCTCATCCAGTGTTCTGCTTCACGTTCGCTTCGCTGTTGCTCCTCGACCTACGCCATGGATCATAGCTCCGAAGTGCACTCTACATGGCAGTCGAACTCGAGGGAGGAGTTTGGCGACTATGTGCTCATGGTAGGTCCTAGTTATATAGATCCGTATCTCCGACGAAACGACTGTCTTCTCTTCCAGGTGTCCGTTTTCGACTCAGTAGTGATCAATTTTGTAGTTTAGTGTTTAATTGTGGGAGCCTGACTCCCCCTTACTCTCTTCTCTCTTACTCGCGCACCTCTCTCACAAACACTCTTTCATCTTTCGCCTTCCCTTGCTGCTCTCTCCTCAACCCCACCTTCCCCTGCACGCAATCGTGTCTCGTCCATTCCTGCCGTCTCCCTCCAGGTTCAATGCCTAATAGAGCGATGCCTACTCATCGACCTCAGTCGCGACGAATGCGTGTACACCTTAGCACGGCGGGCGAGAATCGACCCCGCTGTTACGCTTGCAGGTGAGAATTGGGATGACCAAGCATCGCTTCGCCAACCAATAATCGAAGCTCTATCTTCATGCCTCTGGGACAGTCTTTTTGGACGTAAAAGCTTCCACAATCAGGTTAACGCGCGCATGTATGCATACTGTATACATTGTGTCAGATGAATAATTCGATCCTGTCCCTTTTTCTTTTGTGCAGTGTGGAAGGGACTCGAGAAGCGAAACCCAACATTCTTTGAGGAGTACTCACGTCGGCCACACAACAGCGAGACTCGCAGGGCCAGGCGCGCTCAGCAGTCGGCGCAGCAACAATTGTGCTCCGCTAAGATGCTTCAGTACCTGGACGCCTGGCAACTGCCTTATACCGGAACTTGAACGTGGATCAGTTCCTGGAGGTGATCACTTTGAAAGCTCTTACCCGGGGGCCAAAGTCTTGCTGGTGCTGCCAGCTCTGCACGCCGAGCGAAGTATTCGTTTTCCAAGATCAGCTGCGAAGATCCTAGCACGCTTGCCGACTTGGCTGATGCGGTATGTGTTACAAGGCTGGCTGATCTTGGGATCATTCATTGGCTAGGTGTCCTTGCGAAAAGGATCTAGCATGGAGGGCAGTAGGGAGCTGAGCTTCTGTACATAATTTTTTGAGTGCCGGGTTTTGTGTGCTATTGTGTGATCTAAAATCGCCCTTTGTTTGTGCAAATGAGTGAAGCTTTTTGGCAAGCAGAACGCTCTTTATTCAGCTCAGCCTTAAGCTGACGGAATGTCTGTGCTCTCCCTCATTGACTAATGCTACTGAACATGAAAGTGCTTCCGCAATAACAGTTGAAACACATGTGAAGTTGTTTCCACTTGATTTTGGATGTTCGTTTTGGAAGATATCAACTCTCAAGGGTCGACCAGACAATACCTAGGCTAACCAGACCACACCGAGGACAGATCAGACGTCCAACCAAGGGACTGTCGAACACAGCCACACCAATCCACCACCACCCCAATCACTCATCACCAACCCATCCCCTCACTCGGCCACATGGCGATTGTATCGCAAAAATCCTATCCATCGTTTGAAACTTTCGCGATATTCAATGGTTCGCACAGATACCTTGCCTGTCAGATTTCTAGGCATGACTGTTCAACATATCTGTCCAACCAGGTTCTTCTAGAACCTCATTCACCAAATACCTCATTGTCAGTGTCTTTCTGGCAGCTCTAATCTGGTAGGTTGATTAGAAAGAGACTGACATTAGGTGACATTAGACCTCCTTCTTCGATGCGCACCAGTTAATCCATCTGCGGAAGAAGTGTTCTCGCTATGAGGGTCTGGAAGCTTCTGTTTCCTTTCATTCTCGTGGTCGCTACAATCGCAGGCCACGCGTTTCCTGCTTTCGCCAAACCGAAGCGGAACGACGAGGCATTGACCACTACAGATCTGACGAGCTCGTTAAAATCCAACGTTCAGGTATGGATGCGCGGCCGTCAGCTAAGCGTCATGCAGCCGGTTTCCGTCAAGCATAGCGTTTCCCGTCGGTTGCTTCAAGTCCCTGACGAAGACGGCGACGGTTCGGGGGATTCTGGCGGGGATGGCGGAGATGCATCGGAAGGATCGCGGAAGAAGCCCAAGGGAAAGAAGAAGAAGAAAAAGGCTCGCAAGAGCAAGAAGTCGGGGAGCAAAAAGTCGAGCAAGAAGGCGAAGCTTCGTCGACAGAACGCGATGCCGCGACGGTCCGAGGAACTTCAGCAGGTGATTAAGGAGGTGACATCACAGTTGGGGGAAGACGAAGAGGGGGGAGATCGTGTCGCGCGAAGTGCAGATAGCGACGAGGAGGCCCGCGGAGGGGGACAGGAGGAGGGGAGTGACGGGGGAAGCGCGGAAGTGACTGCGGAGATGAATGCGGTGACGAATGCGGAGAGGGATGATGAAGAGACGCCTCCACGGGCGCGAGAAAGCGCGACAGAGGAAGGGGAAGGCGGAGGAGAATCTGCGGAGGGCGCGGAACGCGCGGAAGGCGGAGAGTTAGCGGGCGACGCGGAGGAGAAGCGAGAGAAAATCGCTGCTGCTGCTACGGAGGAGGAGGAGGAAGAGAAGGCTGAGGTTGGGGAAGAGAAGCGCGGAAATGTAGTTCCCCCTGCGGACGACGACGAAGTGGCGGAGCGGAAGGCGGAAAAGGCGGACGCGGCGGAAGACGATGCCGGCGAGGGGGAGACTGCTAGGGGGGCGGAGGGAGAGGAGGAGGGGGAGACTGCGGAGAAGGCGGATAGGCAGAGGAAGGAGAGGAGTGAGGATGGTGACGAGGGAGAGGGGGAAACGGAGGGGGACGATGAAGGGGACGGCGAGGGGCAGCGCGTGAAGAAAGAGAGCGAGGCGATTCCGGAGGCAGACGATGGCCCGCGCGCGGAAAAGCAGGAGGATGACGTGGAAGGAGGGGATGATGACGTGTCGAAGCGGACTCGCGGAAGGGGAAAGGAGCGCGAGGAGGCGGAGGGTGGTGATTTGCTTGTGAAATCTGAGGGGAAGCGGGGGAATAGGGGGGGAGATGCGGAGGAAGGGGGAGCTGACGAAGGGGGGGAAGAGGAGGAGGGGAAGAGGATGAAGCGTGATGATGGGGACGAGGAGAGCGAGAGTGGGGAGAGGGAGAAGAGAGTGAGGGAGGAGGAAGGAGGGGAGGAGGACGGAGAAGGGAGTGAGAAGGGAGGGGAAAAGGAGGAAGGGGTTGGGGAGGAGGGTGAGGGGAGAAAGAGGAGGAGCGATGAGGAGGATGAGAGTGAGGAGGGGAGGGCGGGGAAGGAGGGAGGTGGGGACAATGAGGGGAGCAAAGCGAGTGAGGAGGGAGAGGAGGAGGATCTACCGCGCTCGAAGGCAGCACATGAGGAGGAGGATCTACCGCGCTCGAAGGCAGCACATGAGGAGGAGGATCTACCGCGCTCGAAGGCAGCACATGAGGAGGAGGATCTACCGCGCTCGAAGGCAGCACATGAGGAGGAGGATCTACCGCGCTCGAAGGCAGCACATGAGGAGGAGGGGGAGGAGGGGATTAGGGTGCGAGAGAAGAAGGTTGAGGAGGAGGGCGAGGGGGAGGGAGAGGGTGACAGGGAGGGAGGCGAGGAGGAGGAAGCGGGTGTGAGGAAGAAGGGGAAGGAGAAGAAGAAAAAGAGCAAGAAGGAGAAGAGGAAGAAGAAGAAGAAGAAGGGGCGGAAGGAGAGGCTTGTGGAGGGTGGGGAGGAGCTTGGGGAGAAGGAGAGGATAGAGGGGAAGAGGGAGGAGGAGGATGGCGGTGGGAGCGGTGGTGGGGTCGCAGAGGCGAATGACATGGAGCGATCGGAGGAGATCGATGACGAGAATCAGGTGCAGCGCGAGGAGCGGGCAGAAGCAGCGGAGCGAGATGGAAAGTCCGATGCTGCGGACGCTGCCAACACAGCCGATGCTGGCAGGGCAGGTGAGGGAGGAGCGGCAGGAGGAGCAGGAGGAGCAGGAGGAGCAGGTGCAGCAGGGATGGAGGAGGAGATGGAGGGAGCAGCAGTGACGCCGGGGCAAGACGAGGTGATTCCCGGATCAGGTGCGACTGACCGCACCCGCACCACCACCAGTGGGCCCGGTACAGATGGAGGTTCGGAGGGAGGCTCGGAGCCGATTACCGGGGCAGGGGTGGGCGGTGACGTGTTCGGGCGGGCGGGGGAAGGCGGCACCGGCGCGGGGGAGGGGAGCATGGGCGCGGGGGAAGGGGGCGGCATGGGTGTGCCAGAGGGGGGGAGCATGGGGGGGGGCATGGGGGGGGGAATGGGGGGAGTGGTGAGTGAAGAGGAAATGGAGATTCTGAAGCATCTGCAGGAGGACGTGGCAGTGAGAATGAGTGAGGAGGAGCAGATGGAGCTGGAGGCAGGCGCCGTGGCGGACGCTGATGCTCACTCGTCGTACATGCAGGAGGTCATGGGGCTCAGGCGCAACTTCAAACCGACTCTTATGGGAATGAAGGTGAGCTCATGTTGGTCTGTGTAGTGCGGTTGAGAGGGGCGCTTGTGGTTTTGGCTCGTCGTACATGCAGGAGATCATGGGGATCCGGTGCAACTTCAAGGCCACCCTTATGGGCGTCAAGGTGGGTGCAGTGTGGTTGAGAGGGGTGCCTGTGATACAGGTGCTGTGGCGCACTCGTCGAAGATGCAGGAAGCGATGGTCATCTCACCCCTTTCCGCTCTCATCTATCTTCTCCCCTCTACCCCCCTGCTATCCATCCTCCTCTCCCCTCCCCCCATCAGGACAAGGCCAGCAAGCACGTCCTCCCCCACATATCCCAGATCGCCCGCACGTCCCGCCTGGCCTTCCTCAAGACCAGCTCGCACCTGACCTCCCAGATCACCCCCTACTTCGGCTCCTCCTCCCCGCTCCTCGCCACGCTCCTCTCCTACCTCCTCCTCCTGCTCCCTCTCGCGCTCGTCATCGGTCTCTTCATTCGCATGCGCGCTGCCCTCTCCCTCCGCCGCATCGTGCACCTCGCGAACCTCTACCTGTTCCTGTACTGCTTTGTACTCCTTGTGGCGTGCTTCGTTATAAGTGCGGAGCCGATGGCGAGTCTTAAGAAGGTCGCAGAGCATAACTACTTTGTGCTGCAGCTGCTGCAAGGAGCTGGCTACCTCTGCTACCTCGCTCTGCAGGCAAGTTCTTTCCTGAAATCAGCACGTAATTAGTAGAAGTATCTTGCCTCTGGTCCCGTGTGCAAGCAGCTCCCTCTGACTGGACTAGGAAGGTCGCGGAGCATAGCTTCTTTGTGCTGCAGCTGCTGCAGGGGGCGGGCTACCTCTGCTACCTCGCTCTGCAGGCAAGTTCCTTTCTGAAATCACCACCAAAAGGCAGTATCTGGCCTCTGGTTCCCGTGTGGAAGCAGCTACTTCTGACTGGACTAGGAAGGTCGCGGAGCATAACTACTATGTGCTGCAGCTGCTGCAGGGGGTCGGGCTACCTCTGCTACCTCGCTCTGCAGGCAAGTGTTTTTCGCAAAATCTCCCTCATCAAGATGCATCTGGTTGCCTTTGTAGCCCCCCCTTGTGCGTTACTCTGTGTGACCATCCGCTCGTCAGAGAGAGGGCAGGGCAAGTTCATCCGCCTGCGCGCAGTGCTGCAGCTGCTGGTGGCGTTGGGGGTGGGCGTGGGACTGCACTCGTACATCACCGTCTTTGAGCGCACCATGCTCCACCTGCTGCCCAATGCCCCCCCAATCCAATGCCCCCAGTGTCCCCCTACCCTACGCCTCTGCTGGCACAATGCTCGTCACGATCTGGTCCGGCTCAGCCCTGTGCTCATGCTCACTTCTCCCCTCCTCCCCCTCCTTCCCCCTTCCCTTCCCCCTCCCCTTCCCCTTCTCCCCCTTCCCTGCCCCCCTTTTTCTCCCCTCCTGTCCCTCTCACTCAACCTCCCTAATTTCAGGGTCTGTCTCTCTGTGTCACCATTCGCTCGTCAGAGAGAGGGCAGGGCAAGTTCATTCGCCTGCGAGCTGTGCTGCAGCTGCTGGTGGCACTGGGGGTGGGACTACACGCCTACATCACTATCTTTGAACGCGCCATGCTCGACCTCCCGCCCAATGCCTCTGCTGCCGCGTATGCGGCTTATGCCGCGTGTTTCTTCTTCCTTGTGCTTATATCGAGGGGCCCCAAGCGGCACGAGGATAAGGACAAGTAGGGGGGGGAGAGACGAGGGTTGGAATGAGTAGGGGATGAGATGTTGTAGTTGGTCCCGTTTGTGTGTTGCTGTTTATTGGCAGTAGGAGAGCCGATGAGCGGTGCTTGCAAGTTGCAGTGTTATTGTGAAGAAATGATACTTTTTGTCATGTGGGAAGACTTTAAGGTGGCTTGAAATTACATGCTTTTTTACTGATGAACTGCAGTTTCCAGGGCAAGGTAACACACATCCAGCGTACAAGATGATTTGCTAGACTAGTTTGTGACAGACTCTTCAGCTCGTGAAGCCTACTGAGATAAGAGTGATTCGATGTTCTCTTAGTGAAGGCCGCGATAACAACGTACTCCCCTGGCACACGCCAGCATCTCATCGCGCCACGTGCCAAAGGGGGTTCACCTTTTTGCTGATTTGGCGTCGCGTCACGAAGATTCCGCGGCGCATCTCTCTTGGTCGCTGTTCCTCGCAATCACACAAACGGCGTCAGCAAACGAGGAAGCTGCAATTTCCTCCCTAACAGTTTGGGTCGAAGCGGTTCGTGGCTCTCGAGTAACGGAAGCGTCAGCATGCGCGGGGGATAAGAAGAACAGCCAGCTGCGCACCAACCGCAAACACCCGAGGTCGTTTTCGCCAATCAGACGCCAAATCAAAAGCGCCGAGCCAATGCCGGTGGCCAGGGGGAATTTGCGACAGCACCGAGGGCGACGTCGCCGCAAGCACGTGTGAATTGCAGTCAGCCGTTCATGCGTCCATCTGTTTGACATCAATGGCTCTAGTCCAATCATATTCCGCACATCCCGCAAGATTTTGCGACCAGCTGTCGCATGCACTTCCATGGCCGTTTCGCCCTTGGGTTCCTCGACACACAACTGCCACACACTGCACTTAACGATCCAGTAACCGCTCATCTTTGTCGCGCGCTCTATTCGTGCTCTTCGTTCACCCGTCGAGGTTTTTCGCATTCCCTGTGTAACACCAGGCGCGTGCGCTGTCCTTTTGCGCGGCAATGAGTTGCGCGCATTCGTTTCCCCCCCGCCTGCATTCATTCGTTTCTCCTCCCCCAACCTCCTTACCTATTTTATGGCCATGTGGAATTCTGTATCTCACCTAAAGTGCGAAAGTCTATATGATCTTGTGCAATCTCGCTTCTGCTCCTCCATCTCTTATGAATGCGACTTGGTTCTTGATTTTCTGATAAGAGTTTTGATCCACCAAACCAATAGACCAGGAGATTGAAGAGTAGAAGGGAGTTGGTTTTTTCTGGGCTTCGTCTGGTTGTACTAACGACCAGAGCAGACAGGTAGTGCATCATTCACCGCAGTGTTACGCAATTAGCAGGCGAATTGCTTGAACCACCTCCAAAGAACGTGTAAGAGCTAGACTAGTCGCGTTTAGCATCCATTTTAGTTTTTGTAACATCGGCCGGCTATGCGTCTCCTCCAGCGATCGCTCGAGCGTTCGCCCACGAGGGTGCGAATGGAGATCCGACGGTCAGACGTCCAAACTAACGGAAATAGCGCGCAGCCGTCTGGAAAACCCCGACGCTCGAATGCGAAGCTGCTTTACGCTCAATCGGGACGCCCGGCGTCGCCGTCGCGCGGAGCCGCTCCGTCGACGGCAACGTCAACGTCAGCATTTACGTGTGATTCTCGCGCTATCGCTGACGGATCAGCTCCAATCTCCCACAATTCGACGGTATCCATGCCACCACTTAGAATCTCTCACTCTAAAGAGAATTCCATTATTTCTAACCGGGCCACCACGCAGCAGCAGCCAACGAATGTGGCGAAAGATTTAGCGACAGCTCCTTCCGAGCCTGCTTTCCAACTACGGGGATCAGCGTCGGTTGAAGGCTCGGCAGTAAGCGATACCCGGGCCGCATCTGGGGACGGAAGCGAGGCGATTAAAAACCTATCGGATCCGCCGGTCCTGTGCTGGGAGCGCGTGGGCGGATCTACTAAGGCGTATGTTGCGAATGATCGCGGCAGCGGAGCGGATGGCGCGGAGGGGGCGGGGAGGGGGCGCAAGGGGCGGCGGAGAAAGCCGTTCTTTATCCAGGACGTGGGGGAGCGCGCGGACGCGGTCATGGTGAGTGCGCTGCGCTGTGGTGAGTGCGCGGGTCAGTGCGCCGATCATTCGTGCCTTGGTTAGTACACAATGTCGCCAAAATTGTTTTTCATCCCAAAACCCTCGCCCCTCCCCCTACCCCTTCTCTCCATCCCCTTCCCCTCCTCCCTTCCCCCCCCTCCCCCTTCCCCCCGTTCACCTTCCCATGCCCCTCTCATTCCATTTTCCTGTTATCCAGGAGCTGACCGATTTTTTCAAGACGAATTTCCTGCCCGAGGGGTTTCCGGACAGCGTGGCTCCGTCGTTCGTGCCGTACATGCGGTGGCGCGCCTTGCAGGTGACTATAGCGGGAGTGCATTTACAGGGACTCTAATTTGAAGGTATTTGCAAGTGACTATAGAGGGAGAGTTGTTGCAGGCATTTCCTTCCCCCCTCCTTCCTCCAGCAGCAATTTCATTCTCATGCGGATCTACATCACTTGCTCTCTCCTCCCCAACCTTTCGCTTCCCCCCTCCCTTCCCACCCTCCATCCCTTCCAACACTTCCTCCCTACCGCCACTCACTTCCCGCACTCCCTCCCGTCTCCATCCCCTGTCCCTTTACACTCCGTTCCGTCTCCGTTCCCCCTCCGTTTCCTCATCTCATCTCCCTCTTTCCCGCATTTTATATACCGTTCCCTCCCTTCCCACCCTCCCTTCCCACTCTCCCTCCCTGCTAACCTCATCAGTACTTTTTCGGCGGCGCGATGGGCGTCTTCACCACGCGCTCGCTGCTGCACGCCTTGGGAGTGTCGCGCGGCGCGGGCGGTGGCGGCGCGGCGGCGAGCGCGCTGGCGGTGAACTGGGTGCTCAAGGACGGCGCGGGGCGGCTGGGGAAGATGCTGTTCGCGCGCCACGGGAAGCGATTTGATTGCGATCTGAAGCAGGTGAGAGGCTTGCAACAGGAGGGAGGGAAATTGGGTGGTAGCGGGGAATGTTCACAACATGCTTCTTGACTGCATAGCTGCTTGATTTGGGCTGCTGTGTCGAGCTCTGCACCATTGCCATTCTCTCGCTCGCTCTGCACCATTGCTATTCTCTCGCTCGCTCTGCACCATTGCCATTCTGTGTCGACCCCTGCTATTCTCTCCTTGACGTGCCACTCCCTCGCCCTTCCCGACCCCTCCCCCCCGCCCAATTCTCTTCCCCCTTCCCTCTACTCTCTAATTGCCAATGCTCGTTTGAAATATCTCAAAATCTTTCTACAAACCCCCCCCGCCCCTCCCCCAACACCCCCACCAACCACCGCACTCACCCACCCATCACATCACCATCGTCACTCCCCTCCCCGCACCCCACTGCCCTCTCTTCAACCCTCCACTCACTCTCGCAGATGCGATTTCTGAGCAACATGCTGCTTGATTTTGGCTGCTGTGTCGAGCTCTGCACCATGGCCGCCCCCAAGCTCTTCCTTCCCCTCGCCTGCATCGCCAATGTGTTTAAGGTGGGTTCGGTGCAGTTGGGTGCAGTACGGTCGGGTGGCCTCACTAGGTTGTGGCTGCTGTGTGGAGCTCTGCACCATGGCCGCCCCCTCGCTCTTCCTACCACTCGCCTGTGTGGCCAACGTCTTCAAGATGGGTGCAAACCGGTTTCGTGCTAAACAGCCTGGTGCAGTGCGGTTCAGTGCGTTGGGATGGACCTTTGAACCATGGTCGCTCCCTCACCATTCCTTCCCAACGCTTAAAACAAACCACTTGGGAGAATTCTCTGAGGCGCCCATCTCTTATCTTATCAACAAACTTTTTAATCAACTTATTACAGCCCTTCGCCCCCTTCGCCCCAAACCCCCTCGCCTTCTCCCCCTACTCTCCCATCCACCCTTCTTTCCCTTTCCCTTACCTCAGAACATTGGAGCGGTAACCAACACGTCCACCCGCGCGCCCATCTACAAGGCGTTTGCTCGGCGAGAGAATATCGGAGACATCACGGCCAAAGGGGAGAGCATCAGTAACCTCGCTGACCTGGTGGGTAGGGGGTGAGTGTGGATGGGTGTGGGGTGGAGGGGATTGAGGGGTGCTGCACTCGGGTGGCTGACTGGTGGGTGTGTGGGTGGGTGGGTGTGGTTGGAAGTGGGGTTGAGCTTGTCTGTGAAAAGAGAATATTGGAGACATCACGGTCAAAGGGGAGAGCAGTAGTAACCTCGCTGACCCGGTGGGTAGGGGTGGTGTGTGGGGCGGAGAAGGTGGTTGGGTGAGGGAGGGGAGGGGGGTGTACGTGCGTGTTCCAAGACGCATCAAGCGAGGACGTGTGATCTTACTGATCAGTATCAGTAATAATATGTTATGTCATTCTTATGGACTTGATGTCTGGACTGTGTACATTGCATGTGTGGGCTGCATGCAGATGGGCACAGGAGCCGGCATTCTCATAGCAAGGAGCAACCCTCACCTTGCCACCACCTTTGCTCTCCTCTCCTGTGGTTATCTCTTTGCATCGTTCAATGAGGTGAGATATGATGCATGGTGCGCATGTGCACATCCACTCAGATGGACACGTGAAGTCATGTGCACCCATCTAAGCGAACATGCACATGAACTGACATGGACAGATCACATGTACAGGCACACATGCTCATGAAATCACATGCACACATGCACATGTACTGGCACGCATGCACCCACACACTCACTCACACATCAGGCCAGCCTGATCATTCCGCAACATGTATGCAATCTCGCACACACTAGGTGCACACTAACACACACACACACACACACTCTCTCTCTCTCTCTCTCTCTCTCTCTCTCACACACACACACACACACACACACACGCACTCACAGACACATGCACGCCTCTCTCCCCTTCCGCACACACACACACCGCCACTCCCTTTCCTATCGTTCAACATGTCAGGGTCACTCCCCTCCCTTCCTGTCTCCCTCACCTCGCCCAGGTCAAATCTGTGCAAGTGCCCACGCTGAATCGCGCTCGCTTCGCTGTGGCGGTGCGCTCCTTCCTGGAAACGGGGCAAGTACCCTCCCTAGCTGAGGCCAACGCCAGGGAGCGCATTCTCATGCTGCCATGGGCTGTTGACCGGCCCTTGGAGCTGGGCGCACGAGTGGGGGATGCGTTCAGGAGCCCTGCTGACCTGCTCTCCTCGCAACGCATCTTCAAGGTGCGCTACAAACCTACCAACCTTTCCCCTCTGCAAGTGCTGCCCCTAGCTGAGGCCGACGCCAGGGAGCGCGTCCTCGTGCTGCCGTGGGCGGTGGATCGACCCCTGGAGCTGGGCGCGCGGGTTGGGGATTCGTTCATTGAGGTGATTCTTGAGGCGCCTCAAAAATCACCTCAATGCATGCGGGTTGGGGATGCGTTCAGAAGTCCTGCTGACCTTATGATTGATGCTCTCCTCGCGACGGATCTTCAAGGTATGGCTGCTGCTTTTAGGATTGATGCTAGAGTATGGAATGGGCCTGCCTTATGGATTGGGCCATGAGTCAGGGCTGTTTAGTAGCCCTGCTGTCGGTCATCACAGCCTCCCAGCGACTTTCAGCCCTCTTCCTCCTTCCTACCCTAAACCCGAAACCCTCTCCCAACATCTCCTTCCCTTCCGCCTCCCTTCCTCTCGCCTTCCCCCCAATCCGTTCGCACCACCAGGACGAGCAGTACATTATATTATACCGCCCAAGCCACCACCGAGCCTACGTCGTCCTCAAGGAAGGAGCCTCACTGTGATATCACAGTGAGGAAGGAGTCCTCCGTGTGATATACCAGATGACTTTTGAGTCAACTCAAAAGTCACCTTGATATAACAGTGAGGAACGAGTTCTCAGTGTGATTAACCACAGATCACAAGACGTGGTGTGAGCGGCCTTTCAGTGATATAACCCTCTTTCCCCTCCTTTCCTTTGCTTCCCCTCGCCCCCTCGTCTGCTATCCCCATCCTTCCCACCAGAACGAGCAGTACATTGTGACGTACCGCCCAAGCCACCGGCGGGCATACGTCGTCCTCAAGGAAGGAGCCAAATCACGAGACGTGGTGCGGGCGGCCTTCCAGACGCACGTGCTGCTGCACCTGCTGCACCAATGGCGGCAGGACACCTGTCAGCAGCCCCTGCTGACTCACCACCTCTCCCCAGACTCCTCCCCCAAATCCTCCCACCTATCCCCTAAAAACTCTCCCAATGACCAAACTCCTAACTTCTTCAGCCCTACAGCCCTCACCTCAACCATCCTCACCCCTACAGCCCTCTCCCCAACCGCTCTCACCAGCAGCAGCTCTCCAGGCAGATGGGCGGCCAGGGAAATCAGTCCCAAGGGCCCGCGGGCGTGGCAGCGATCCCTCACATCAGCAGAGGTGGAGCGGGCAGTGTCAGAGAGTCTAGAGGTCACTAGAACTCTGTTTGGGGCGTTCGAGGAGAGGGCTGCTGCTGAGGGATGGACCATGGCAGATTCATTGCTCAACCCTGGCAAGGCCCGCGTGCTGTCTGGCCCTCCGTCTGCCCAGCTGAAGCACCCTGCTGCTGCTGCTCTTACGACCGTGGCAGCTGCTGCTGGTAGTAACCAATCAAATGCCTCTTCTGTCGCGTCTGCTGCTGATGGTTCTTCTGAACTCTCTCCCCCGCCGCTCTCTGCCAAAGGCCGGGTTGCTCTCAAGCCGTTTGCAGGTGCTGCTGCTTAGATATGCTGACTCACTGTAGGCCTTTTCTCCAGGGCACTTGCAGTTTTGTAGTGTAGGCCATAGTGAGCCTTTTCCTTGGGCGTAGCGTAGGGATTCATATTTTTTTTATTGACTCATGATGCGCACTCTTGGAAGCCACTCCTCTGTTGCTGTCCCATGGTACCTTGAAGTTCATTCCTGCAATTATGGTTTAATTTCATCAGAAGAAAATAAGCTTCAGTGAACATTCAGCTCCCAAGGGTGACATAGTATTCACTAACCATTCTCGTGTGACAGATTTGCTGGCCGGTTTTGACATGTCTCAAAACGTGTAGCAATAAATGGGTTGACACCTCACACCATACGCCAGCACTGGTTTGGGTTGGCAATGGGTTTGCCTGCACTGTGGCAACTTGCGCTCTCAACTCGCCGCTTCTCCGCCGCTTCTCCCCCATCTCAACTCGTTTGGGATCTACACTCCCTCTCATTCTTTCTTCCCCTCCTCCAACTCATCGTCCAATGAGAACACGTCTGTGTTCACTGCTTGCTTCTTCTCCACCCCTCCTGCACCACCACCGCCGGCACCACCAGACGCTGACACTGCAGTGAGGGCTACCTCCTCCTCCCCCAACTCCTCTGGCACGTCCTCGGAGTATGCATATCTGTATTGATGGAGGGGGGAGTGAGAAAGAGCGAGGGGAAGGGTGAGAGGGAGGAGTGAGATGCGAGTGGATAAGCACGCACCACCAGAACCTGACACTGCCATAAGGGTTATGTGCGTGAGAGCGCAATCTCTTCCTCCCCCAACTCCTCTGGCACGCCCTCAGAGTATGCGTATCTGTATTAGTGAGAGAGGGGAGTGAGACAGAAAGAGAGGATGTTCCTTCAGGAAGCCCAGAGCATGCACGAGGCAGCCCAGAGCATGCACGCGGCAGAGCAGAGCAGCATCAGCACGAGCACATGCCAGAAGCACATGGTTCCATGAGTGGCACAGCGTGACCACCCCCCAGCACTCGCAGGCATACCTCGTGGCGTTTCTCGAGGGCGCCCAGAGATCGCAGATGAGACAGAGCAGCATGAGCCTGCGCACATGCACATGCACATGCGTATGGTTCCCTGTGATCAACAAAGCCCTCACCCACCTCGTGGCGTTTCTCGAGGGCGCCCATAAGACGCAGATGAGGCAGAGCAGCATGAGTGTGAGCACATGCCAGAAGCACCCGGTGATCCAGTCGCCCTCCCACTGCTCGTTGTACGGGTCTGATGTGCGCAGGTACATCTGGTGTGGGGGGATATGGGGGAAGGGATGTACTCGTCACTAGGTGCCTTATTACCCTCCCACTGCTCGTTGTACGGGTCTGATGTGCGCAGGTACATCTGGGGTGGGGGGATAAGGGCGAAGGAACATATTCGTAAACGCGTGCCTAATTCCTCCCCACTACTCACTTCAGATCCGTCCGTCTGACCTCCGTTTTGACCTCAATTCACCTCCTCTGGCATTCTTCAACCTTGTTTGACCTCGTCCTACACAAACAGCACACTGCACCCCAGCACACTGCATCCCAGCACACTGCATCCCACCTCGAAGCCTATCCAGGCGACCGACACCAACACAGCGATTGCCAGCCCATTGGTGAACTTGCAATACAGCTCCCGCTTGTGGGTCGTGCGCTTGGCCTGACATGCCACACACCACTCACAACATCTACCTCCTTACCACCAGCTGTGATCTCACCTCGAAGCAAATCCAGGCAACAGACACCAGCACAGCAACCGCCAGCCCGTTTGAGAACTTGCGGCACAACTCCAGCTTGTGGGTCGTGCGCTTGGCACCGTAACCACACACCACGTCCACCTCCTTACCACCAACTGTGATCCCACCTCAAGGCCCACAGGCAAGGCATCTCACCTCGAACCCAATCCAGGCGACCGACACCAACACAGCGATCGCCAGCCCGTTCGTGAACTTGCGGTAAAGCTCCAGCTTGTGAGTGGTGCGCTTGGCCTGCAGCTGTGCGAGCGTCTTGGAGAGCGCGGAGAAGATCCAAAGGATGAAAATCGCATCTAGCACCGCCACCGGCAGCACCAGGAACAGCCTCTCGCTGCTCGTGAGATCGTCAATCGCCCCCACGTTCTGCATCACGTCTAAGAGCTCAACCGCTGCAAAGTACCCCACTCCTAGCGCCACAACCTTCCCCGAGAGACCCCCCAGAGTGGGACGAACGACGCCGAACCCCATGGACACGACCAGCACGAGCACGCGGGAGACCGCCTTGCGGATGGCGCCGAGAGTCGCCGCCCAGATGGTGGTACCCATGGGGCGGAATCCAGAGGAGTTGAAGTTGGCGAAGTCGTAGAACCAGGTGGCCATCTCCGCCATGGAGAGCACGAGCACTGCCGTTATGCACGTGTGGATCTGCAGCCCGTCCTGCCAGAAGCGGAAATACTGCGCGAACCACACGATTCCCAGAATGGTGTACACCTGGTGGACGGGAAGCCAGAGCAGCAAAAGGGTGTTGGGGTGGGGTGGCGGGGGGGGGGGGAAGTGGGTGCGAGGAGAGGGGGAGGAGGCGGGGGAGTAGGGGGAAAAGGGAGGCGTTGTGGTGAGGGGAGGAGTTGAAATTGGCGAAGTCGTAGAACCAGGTGGCCATCATGGCCATGGAGAGCACGAGCACTGCCGTGATGCACGTGTGGATCTGCAGCCCGTCCTGCCAGAAGCGGGAGTACTGTGCGAACCACACGATTCCCAGGATGGTGTACACCTGGTGCATGGGAAACCAGAGAGGGAGAGAGAGAAGTGGGGGAGGAGGGGGGTTGGGTGGTAGGGAGTGAGGGAGGGGGCGGGGGTTGGTTGTGGGGGGGGGGAGGAGAGGGGTGGTGGAGTCGAAAAACCAGGTGGCCATTGAACCAGTCACATCACAGTGACTCCAGTTGCCTTGAACAGCACAACACAGAAGCACAACACTCACAACAGAGACTAGCACTCACCACAGCCATGATCTCGTAGAAGAGGAGATAAGGCGCCATCATGCCGGGCAGATACCCATCAGGGTTCTTCCACACGGTTGTCCCCGTTACAGACACGCCAGCCATGCTCTTGTCGCAGATGACGAACCAGAGGTAGTACATGCCCGTCATCTTGATGCGAATCTCCGATGGCGCTGCCACCACTGTGGTGTCGTTGCCAAAGAAATTGATCTCCACCACACGCGGCCACTGGGGAAGGAAGAGGTGGAAAAAGTTTATAAAAAGGAGACAAAGGCATTTTTTTTTTTTTTTTTTTTGACGGTAACTCAAGCAACCACAGTGGTGCCGTATCCAAAGAAATTAATCTCCACCACACGAGGCCACTGGGGTGGATTTGGGGAAAGGAGGGGGAGAGGGGACGATGAGGGGGGAGCGGGGCATTGGGGGGAAACGGGAACGAATGTGAGGGGAGGAGGAAATGTGATCGGTTGACGTAAACGAACACAATTGTGACATTGTCACGAGAGCTGATCTCCACCACACGAAACCACTCGGGGGAACACCGAGGAGAGGAATGCATTAGCGGGAAAGGGTGAGGGCATTGGGAAAAGGAAAAGGGCATTTGGGAAGCAAAGCATGAGCAGGAGAGTGAAGGAAACGCATTGGAGGAGGGAAACACCCACAGGAGTGTTGTTGTGTTGCCAGAGGAGTTGATTGCCACCACAAGAGGCCTTCTCGCCCCATCAGCTGCCCTTTCCTTCACACAGCCTTCTCACCTTACTGGCTGGATTCTCTTCACAATAACTTCTCGCCACACCTGGTGGTCGTTCCTTCAACTCTCGCCTTACCTGGTGGTCGTTTATTCACACGGGGCCCTTTCGATTTACCCGCTGCACTTTTCTCCACTCAAGCCCTTCTCGCCTCACCTGGTGGTCGCCATCCCTGGGCCGGACAATGACGTGGCCGGGGTTACACCCGGTGCGTTGCACCAACTCAGGAGTGCAGCAGAAGGATCGCGTCTTTGCTGACGTAGCGTATCCAATCCGATCGCGATCTTCCACGTCGAACAGGAGAGCTTCGATACGCCCGGTTTTTCCAACCTGCGGCGACCGTTGCGCCTCCTCTGCCGGCCGATGGAACTCCAGATGGTCGAATCTGATTGGAGGAGAAAGTTTGGTTTGGATCAGGTGGCAAAACAAAAATGGACGAAGCGGTAACAGACGAAGTTAATAGATTTGATGTACGAAATTGCTTATGATTTCGTCGTAAATGAGATAGATATGGCGCGCGATTACCTGCGGCACTTAAACCTGATCACATAATGGCAGCTTTGACAGACGTAAACATCGCGACTGTAGTAGCAATCGTGGAGATCATCGGATATAGCTTCGCCGTTCGGCACGCCGTAAGTGACGGTCAGTCATTTAGCAATGGCGGACGGCGTGAACATCAAGTGACCGGTGAGCAAACTCAAACCGCACGGCGAATTCGGCGTGAACTCACCTACACAGATACGGTAAAAATGGTTCAGGGTAAGAATTTACCGGATGTACGCTTTGCCGTTAGACACGCCTTTCGCGACAGTCTGCCAGTTGGCAATGGCGTACGGCGTGGACATAAAGAGACCCTCGCGACCCCCCCGAAATAAGAACGCGTCAGAGGCCGGAAAGAATCGCTCGCCCTTATATCGGTGGACTGCAGATTCCGCGACCCATGGGAGTGCGAGAAGTAGAGCTGTCGCCAAAGTCCATGCGAGCGTTACTGATTCGCGGATCATCGCTGTAATCAAGGAGACGTCGCATGAACTTCGTAAATCCGACGAGATGACAAGGGACTGGCAATGAGGTAATCGGAATAATCTATGAACCAGATAGTGGTCTATGAGATTTTGCAGCTAACAGAAATGCCCTGGATAGAATCCGTCTCATTTTGTCAACAAGGGTCTAGTCTCCTCAGCTTGGGTCAGCAGCAAGGAAGAGTCCAATTGGTGGCAGACTGACGTTGGTTCTTCCCGCCAAACCGAATTCGTCTTTGACCCCATCTGCTCGGCATTCCCAGTGCCGGGAATACGCCTTGGAGCGTGGAACAGCCGGCCCCCTTATCGAAACGGAAACACCTGAGTCAAGAGCAAGATGTATATCTTGTCGGTAACAAAAAATATTCCCAGTGAGAATTTCAGAGATACCCACCTGCTTCCTTTTACCGTAATCCCCCGTATATAAGACCCTAGGGTCTTATGATAATCACCCCTAAATAGGCTGGGGGGTATAATTACATGGTGTATTTTTTAGAAGACCCGGGTCTGTTCATATTGACATTTATAAGAATGTAGTTTTGGAGCTCAAAGAAGTGATTTGGAAGTGCTCCGTTTTTAGCTCCTGCCAAATATACTCGAATTGGTCTCCACACGGGCCGAACCCACGTCATCACGAACCCTATCTGGGAGCCTCCTCCCATTGGCCACCAACACCACTTGGTGTCCATTAGGGTGGTAATGTGGGTGTGCATGTGTGTTCATGGGTGCGATTTGTGTTAATCAACACTGAATTTGACCATTTTCAATTGCATCTTTGTAAAATCCGCACTTCTCTAGGATGTGGGGGGGGGTCTTATAATGTTAGGGGCCATTTGGGGGGGTATAACTCAGATGTACACGAATAGAGTACCCGGTGCCGTATTATAGACCCGGGGGTCTACAACTGGGGGGGGTCCTATATACGGGGGATTACGGTATCACTGCCGTGTACATATCTGACACTTCAAACCTGACTCAATAGTGTACACTTCTCCCCGCTGCAGATTAATCATAATCGTAACCTTGCCTTCTCTCCATAACCCCAGCCAACTCAGAGTGCGTGATCGGCCAATCCCGAGGATGGAGCGGGCGGAAAAAAGGGGTCGACCGACAAGCCAATAGCAGTGGCCACATGTCTGCCCGGACTGAAAAAAACTCATCGAGAGCCTGCCCGCCAAATTCGGGGTACTCTGTTTGGTGTTTGGGCTTGGTTTGCGTGGCGCCTTTTACCCCCTCAATCACATCCTCTGCTGTCAACCCCATTCCAAGAAAGTCCGCCAGAGGCTCTGCAACGAGCTGGGAGTGTTGGAGATGCAGGGAGGATGAGAGGGAAGAGTTGTGGAACGAGAATGGTCGGAAAGAAAGATAGCCATAGGAGATGGAATTGAGGAAGGGGAGTGACATGGAAGAATGAGAATGGGGGGTGATTAGGAGGAGCGGGACCAGAGAATGGATCCATATTACCCCAATCCGAGGTAAGAAAATTCCCATAAAACACAGGTGGGTGACTGTAGTGAGCCATAATCCCATGGAGGGGAGTGTCGGACAATGCAGGTGCTGGGTTATGAGTGTGTGGCAGACCAATCCTGAGAGCGAGTGGAGGATCATGCAACGGCGCGGGCTATGAAATGGAGAGGAAATGTCGGATCGTGAGTGTGTGACTGACTGCCAGACAAATCATGAGTGTGAGTGTGAGAACACGCAGGCGCTTACCTCGGGGCTGTCAGCCACCCAATCAAAGTCAAGCACAATGTACTTGCTGCAGGGGAATCATGCATCCGGTCACCACATGTGACCGATGACAGAGGCATGTGACACTGCTTACCTCAGGACTATCAGCCACCCAGTCAAAGTCGAGTACGATGTACTTGCTGCAGGGGATCATGCGCATGGTGGTGTCCAGGAACACCATCTCGTCCTCCACTATGCGCACCTGGTGGTGGTGATGGGGAGGGAGGTGTAAATGAGCATCGTAGAACCCACTATCATGCACATGGTGGTGTCCAGGAACACCATCTCGTCCTCCACTATGCGCACCTGGTGGTGGTGATGGGGAGGGAGGTGTAAATGAGCATCGTAGAACCCACTATCATGCACATGGTGGTGTCCAGGAACACCATCTCGTCCTCCACTATGCGCACCTGGTGGTGGTGATGGGGAGGGAGGTGTAAATGAGCATCGTAGAACCCACTATCATGCACATGGTGGTGTCCAGGAACACCATCTCGTCCTCCACTATGCGCACCTGGTGGTGGTGATGGGGAGGGAGGTGTAAATGAGCATCGTAGAACCCACTATCATGCACATGGTGGTGTCCAGGAACACCATCTCGTCCTCCACTATGCGCACCTGGTGGTGGTGATGGGGAGGGAGGTGTAAATGAGCATCGTAGAACCCACTATCATGCACATGGTGGTGTCCAGGAACACCATCTCGTCCTCCACTATGCGCACCTGGTGGTGGTGATGGGGAGGGAGGTGTAAATGAGCATCGTAGAACCCACTATCATGCACATGGTGGTGTCCAGGAACACCATCTCGTCCTCCACTATGCGCACCTGGTGGTGGTGATGGGGAGGGAGGTGTAAATGAGCATCGTAGAACCCACTATCATGCACATGGTGGTGTCCAGGAACACCATCTCGTCCTCCACTATGCGCACCTGGTGGTGGTGATGGGGAGGGAGGTGTAAATGAGCATCGTAGAACCCACTATCATGCACATGGTGGTGTCCAGGAACACCATCTCGTCCTCCACTATGCGCACCTGGTGGTGGTGATGGGGAGGGAGGTGTAAATGAGCATCGTAGAACCCACTATCATGCACATGGTGGTGTCCAGGAACACCATCTCGTCCTCCACTATGCGCACCTGGTGGTGGTGATGGGGAGGGAGGTGTAAATGAGCATCGTAGAACCCACTATCATGCACATGGTGGTGTCCAGGAACACCATCTCGTCCTCCACTATGCGCACCTGGTGGTGGTGATGGGGAGGGAGGTGTAAATGAGCATCGTAGAACCCACTATCATGCACATGGTGGTGTCCAGGAACACCATCTCGTCCTCCACTATGCGCACCTGGTGGAGGGGAGTGTGCGAGAGAGAGGGATGGGGGGAAAAGGGGGGGGGTGTTCAGGCGCAGCCGAGAGGGAGGGAGAGGGAGAAGGGAAGAGAGCGCACGTGCAAGCCCAGGTCGCCCCTGTGGTAGCCCATCCTATAGGCGGATCGCACAGCGTCAGGTAGCCCTAGGGAGATGATGACGACCTTGAGGTTGAAGAGCAGCCCGTCCAGCTGCAGTACAGCGTGTGACCCAGGTAGGGCCGAATGAGGGGGAGAAGAGGAGGATGCTCAACTGCAGGCCCAGATCGCCCCCGTGGTAGCCCATGCGGTAGGCGGATCGCACAGCATCGGGCAGGGCAGCCCTCGGGAGATGACCACCACCTTGAGGTTGAAGAGCAGCCCGTCCAGCTGCAGCATGTGCAGCAGGTGCCGCCCACCAAGGGGGAGGAGGAGGGGGAATCCAGGCATGGCAGAGCAGGAGGGGAGCTCACCTGTAGACCCAAGTCCCCTCCATGGTAGCCCATGCGGTACGCGGACCGCACGGCATCGGGAAGCCCTCGGGAAATCACGACCACCTTGAGATTGAAGAGCAGCCCGTCCAGCTGCAGCATGTGCACCAGGTCCGGCCGAGCCAGGGGCGTCCGAACCCGGCCCAGAGGATAGGAGTCCCGAGCACGCAGGTACGGGGCTGGAGTGCGGTGGGTGGGTGGGGTGGGAGGGACGGAGGAAGGGAGAGGGGGGAGGGGTGAGGGGGATGGTTAAGGGGGAGGGATGAGGGGGAGGGTTGAGGGGGAGGGTTGAGGGGGAGGGGTGAGGGGGAGGGGTGAGGGAACAACGGAAGGCTGTGGTGGAGAGATCATTTGAGACGCCCTAGAAAATGAACGGTCATGCACGAACAGACATGGAGGAAAAGTAAGAGGAAAAAGAGGAGATGGAAGGTACACACTCACCCATCCACACACACCCATCCACACTCACCCATCCACCCACCCATCCTCCCACCCGTCATCCCACCTATCCTCCCACCCACCCAACCATCCACCCATCTACCCACCCATCCTCCGACCCATCCATCCATCAGCCCACCCACCCACCCATCCATCCACCCACCCACTCGCCCACTCACCCACCCATCCACCCACCCACCCACACACCCACCCATCCATCCGCCCACCCAGCCACCCACCAACCCACACACCCCACCCACCCACCCAACCGATACATACCGTTGCCAATCTCAGCGAGTCGCACGGCCATCTCCTTGGCATAGGCGCGCAGGGGGGACATGCCCATCCCACCCATCCATCAACCCACTTACCCACCCACCCACCCACCGACCCACCCACCCACCCAACCGATACATACCGTTGCCAATCTCAGCCAACCGCACGGCCATCTCCTTGGCATAGGCGCGCAGGGGACGCGCGTAGGGCAGCCGCGGACAGCTGAGGGGGGTGAACCGGGGGAGGGGCGAGGGGCGGAGAAGAGGGGGGGCAGAAGGGGGGATGGGTGTGGGGTGGAGCAAAAGAAGGGCCGGGCGTGGGGTTAGAGCTTAGTGTAGAATTAAGAGCCGAAGAATGGAAAGGACGAGGGGTGGATTAGGCTAAGGTGACATTTGAGTCGACTTAAAACTGAGGCGGGATAGAGGGATGGAGTGGGGGATGGAGTGGGGGAGGGAGGGGAGGGGGGGGGGAGTGGGGGGGAGTCAAGAAGCAACGTGAAAATCACAATCATTTGCACTGCATTCACAGAGTCAGCACACGGAACCAGCTCGCACCCCTCCACAGCCGTGTATCACCGCACTGAACCAGCACTCACCGCACGTCCACGCCGTGCACGTGCGTCTGGGTCTCCTCAGAGGTGAGGTGGAGCAGCGGCTCGAACGCCACCACTGCAGACGGCTCAGTGGAGAGCAACGCCAAGCCAAGCAGGGCACGGGCAAGCAGGGGCACAGACAGGCAGGCAGGCAGGCAGGGTACAGCAACGCCAGGCAGCGGCAAGGCCAGGCAGGGGCACAGGCAGGCGCGGGAAAGCACGCCAATGCAAGAAAGGGGAGGTTGAGCATTGAGGAATCGGGGGAGTGCTTAAGTGGGCGAGGTCACGTGTAAAGAGTGAATGTTTGAGACGTCTCTTTACAAGAAAGGGGAGGTTGAGCATTGAGGAACCGGGGGAGTGCTTGAGTGGGCGAGGTGAATGCAGGTGACGTCACGTTTTCGCATCCCAAACGGTAGCACCATCTCAATACCCGTATTGTTCACCGTTGAAGCTATGCCTACAATGTAATTACTCACCACTGAAGTTCAATTTCTTTGTGCTCCAAAACACCTGCTCGAAGAACTTACGTCCACACCCCGCAATCCCCGCCAACTTTTGAGGCGCCTCAAAAGTCGTCTACCGCACAAGCTACGTCATCACTCTATAGACTCACCACTGAAATTAACCTTCTTTATATTCCGGAACACCTGCTCGAAGAACTTATGTCCGGACCCCTCTATCCCCGCAAAGAACACCACCAGCGGAAGCTCATCCCCCGCTCCGCCAGCCCCGCCCCCGTCCCCGCTAGTCCCATTTTTCCCGTCCGCGGAACCCCCCGCGCTTCCCCCCGCCGCTTCCCCGTCCCCGGGCTTGTCTTGCGCGTAGTAGTGTTTCGCGCTATGCGCAACCGCCTTCAGGTCAATCCTTGGGCGGCACACGGGTGGGCGCATGGGGCAACGTTCGTGAAACCGCTTTTTAAGCTGCTCCAGTAATGTTGCTTGACCGGCAGCTCCGGCGCCGCTGCCTAGACCTAGACCGGAAATGTCGCTGTGTTGTAGCGACCCCTCGTGCGACATCGCGACGTCTTGGATGTAGAGGACCGACGCTGCGACAGCCCAGACGATGAAGATCTGTGCGACGGCGAATCGGACGACGGGTCGTCGCCAGAGCTGCTGGATCGGACGGAAGAGATTGGACGGCCGGGATTTTGTGAGGGACGGGCTGGCGTCATCGGAGCCGTCGTCAGCATCTAGGATTGCATCGAAGGGATCTATTCCGTCGTCATGAGTGGCTGAGCGACGGAGAGCGGATCCAGGAGAGTGAGTCTCCTTACCCTCCATGCTGCGCTTTTAGTTGCGCTTCAATCACTGGCTGACTACAAAGGTCTACGATAGAGCAGCAATTCGGGCGGAGTACCCAAAAGCACGGAGCGATGAAGTTGAGCGCGTAGGCGTTTTTGTCGGAGTCGTATCGTTCAAATCAAATGCGGAAACCACGCCGACATAAATCTCGTAATAAAACGTTCATCGCCTGGATATGGCTATGGCAGACTATGGTCCGTTAGACGAGCCCACCCTGCTACCATGGATTTCCCAATGCCCATAGAAAGAAAGGGTAACTACGTTGAAAACTGGAATTTCCAAGCAACCATGGATTTCCTTTCCAGCGATGATGTGGTGGCTGGGAGCATGGAATCTAGGTGGGTGGCTGTGAGATGGAGGACAATATCAATGTCCTCGATTCTGCAGAAATCGTTACACTTCGCCGAGGTGTTCCGTGAAAGAATCATCGTGGTGAAAATATCGTATAAGAACTTGTATCCGTAATCTGCAATTTCTGGACAATGACGGGTAACCAGGTTCTGTCGCCACAATTATTGGATCCGTCACCTCCACCGCGATAGGCGCACAGGGAAGGAAATTATTGGGCCTCGCTCTTACCTGTCGCATCCGCTGTGCGCTGCAAATTCAGCTGGGAAGGTCCAACTCCGCACGGTGCGTGTTGTAGATCCGAGTCGCATGTTCAATGTCGAGCGCCCACAATTATTGTCACAGGCAAGCAGGGCTGAAGCAGGCAAGCAGGCAATCTGTTTCTGGCCGCACTGCGCCACATCCTTCCGCATTGTGCAATTCGTTTCTATTGAATTCCTCAAAATTGCTCCCTTGCATTTCATCACTTCCTCCTCATCCTCCTTCCCACCAGTTACGTATTGTGCTGATAATAACTAGTTTTTGGTATCCGTTCCACGTTTCGCCCTTGCTCATTCCCAGCCTGCCCCTTCGACTTACTCATCCGCATCAGTTGTGCATTTGACGAACAAATTGGCTCAATAAGGTCGTCAGCAGCAGTCGCTAGAACGAAACGGTAGCCAGCAGCCGCCATCGCTTGCATGAGAGGACGCTAGTTACAGAACCAAGCATCTCAGAACCTACTCGTCGCGGCAAGAGTACGGAAGGAGATAAACACCGCGATTCGCGTATACGGGATGGCGCTCTTGCAGCGAATGGAGCGCTGGAAGCTGTCGTCGTCAAAACATTCAAAACTATTGGCACCGCTGTCGTGCGACGCCGTCGCGGCCGTCGCATTCATCGCACTCGCGAATGCAGGCGTCGCCACAGCCGGTATGCACAAAGAAACGCATCTGACAACTACATGACTTGCCGGAAACCGAGAACACTCGGAAACAAAGTTTCCAAGTTAACAAACGGAATCTTGTTCAAAAGGAGTTACCACACCAACAAGCAACATTTTAATATCAGTTTAAATCCTGATTTCACAAGGCGCCTTTAAAACCAAACCCTTTTTTAATCAGATATCGCCTGATAAGTCTCAGCGCCCCGAAAGAATTGTCAACTTACGCTGCAAGCCCTCCTCCCCTTCTTCGCTTGGCAGGTCGACCGCAGCCTCGTATTCTTCTCTCCAGCACAGGCAGTAAGTCTGTTCTTTTCGACTCTCTCTTGAACAGGCAGTAAGTCTCGACACTCAGCATTGCATCACAGCTGTGGGTTCGCTCTCTTTCCAACTGGCCCACTCTGACAGTCAGCGTAATCTCATCTCGTGGCCACATCCATCTCAACCCTTCCTCAATCCTTCCTCTTTCGTTGTTTTTTTTTTTTTTCCCATTTCTTTCCCATACCGTCACCTCCATGCAATGTCTTCACCTCCAGCTGCGACGATTATCATCTCGGTCCTGGTGGCGCTGCTCCTCGTCGCGCTCTTCGCGCTCGGCATCAAGATGCTGCTCGACCGAACCAGTGAGATACTTAGGTTCAGATATGCCTGGGCTCACCGACGCTAGGCGCAGAGATGACTTTCAGATTTTTGTGACAAAAATCATCTTGCTGCTCCTCGTATCGCTTTTTGCGCTCGGAATCAAGATGCTTCTCGGCCGAACCAGTGAGATGCCATTTTCACGGAGAGCTCAGGGCTGGTTTCGAAGCGCCTCAGAATTCCGCTCGGCATCAAGACTCTGCTTGTCAGAACCAGTAGTGCCTCAGGGTTTCGTCGAGTCCCCTTTTTCCTGCTCTGCTCGTGCTGCTGCTCGTGGAGTCCCAACCCAACCCAATCAAATATATAGCTTTGGGTACGTATTCATGCATCCTCCTCTCCTTTTGACCGCCCCTCTCGTCCTATCCGCTTCTCCTATCAGAAGCAGCGTCGTCAGAAGACGCCGACGCAGCCGCAAAAGCCACCACCACCACCACCACCACCACCGTGATCACCGCTCCGCGCAGCCTCAGCAGCGGAAGGATGAAGCCCCGGAAAGGCGCGGTGCACGTGGTGGGCGGAACGGACGACGACGACGAGGACGCGGAGATTGCGCGCGCGCGCGCGGAGAAGTGGTCGTTGGCGGACGTGGCGGAGGCCACGGCGCAGTTCGCGCAAGAGCGCGTGATTGAATCCGCGGGGCAGAGCGTCGTGCTGCGCGGGAGCGCGCGCGACGGGCGGGACGTGGCGGTGAAGCGCTGCAAGCAGCCGCAGCCCGAGACCCAGGCGCTGTTTCTCCGAGAGGTGCGATGGCTGTGGGTGTGTGGTAAACTGGGCTTTAAGGTTGGGACAGAAAGCATCAGCAACTGTAAGGGGGCAGCGCGGGCGACGGCAGGGGCGCGGGCTTGTGTCCTCAAGCCCTTTTCTTTCTTTGCCACCTCCCTTTCCCTTACCCCACCTTCTCCAACCCCGTTCCCTCCCACCTCCGTTCCTTTCCCCCACGTGCCAGGTGATGTTTCTCACAAGTCTGCGCCATCCCAACCAGTTGCTCCCTCTCGTGGGCATGGCTCGCTCGCTTGCTTCCTGGCTGTGCTCGCTAATTCTGTTTACCTTCCCTCCCTCCCTCCCTCCCTCTCTCCCCCACCTGCCAGGTGATGCTACTCACAAGTCTGCGCCATCCGAATCTCCTCTCCCTCGTGGGCTACTGCGACGAAGGGACGGAACAAATCCTCGTCTTTGAGCACATGAAGCACGGCTCGCTCGCTTCCTGGCTGCGCCCGCCAGCAGAGGCCGCTGGTGAGTGCACCTGATAATCTTAGGCTTGTTGGTTTCAAAGACCCTGGTGAGTATCTCATGAGTGCTGAGGCTAGCTGAATCTGCTGGTTCTATTGCCGTGTGGAACCTGCCCATCCCCTGTCTATCCCCTGCCCATCCCCTGCCCATCCCCTGCCCATCCCCTGCCCATCCCCTGCCCATCCCCTGCCCATCCCCTGCCCATCCCATCCCCACACCACACATTCCCTCCCCCTTCCCCTCTGTCCCCCCACTCCTCTGAACCACAGAGTCCCGACCGCCACTCACGTTTGAGCAGCGGGTGAGGATCGCTGCTGACGTGGCACGAGCAGTGGAGTTTCTGCACTCGCAGCCCAAGCCAATCGTTCACAAAGACATCAAGACCGAAACCATCCTGCTGGACGAGAATTTCAAAGTGAGTTGATGGAGGTCAATGGGAGTCAACAGTAGATGTGACTGGTTGAGCCTACTTAAATTGAAATCAGCCCAAGCGCAGTGCAGTGGAATTCCTGAACTCGCAGCCCAAGCCAATCGTGCACAAAGACATCAAGAGTGAAACCATCCTGCTGGACGATAACTTCTATGTGAGCTCAAAGCTCCCTGGTCAACGCAAGTCAATGAGAGTCAACGGAGACAGTGAGAGTCAACAGAGTCAATGAGAGTCAACTGCAGTCAATCAAAGCAAGTAGATGGTGCACCGAGCCATCAAGCCCGAAACCATCCAGCTGGACGGAGACTCCACATGCCAACGCAAGCTAGCCCTCCCTGGTCTATGCAAAACAGAGCAATTCAAGCGTAGAATCCGTTTTTGAGGCGCCTCAAAAACGACCTCAACGCAAGCTAGCCCTCCCTGATCTATACAAAACAAAGCAATTCAATCGTAGAATCCGTGTCTCATGCAATGGTGTGCTTGATGACTTATAGCATTGAATTGAACCGTCCTTGGATGGTATATGTGCGACAATGATGGCACGTGTGCGTGCGCTGCAGGTGAAGCTAGGGGGACTAGGGACGCGCAAGCACCTGCCGGGGGAGTCCAGCCGCGTGCGAGTGCAGCGGAGGAAGGGGTACTTGGACCCTGAATACTGCCAAACTTTCGTTGTCACTGCCAAGGCCGAGATCTTTGCGTAAGTTGAAACGTGAGGTGCCTAAAAAATGCAGGTGCATCGGAGGAAGGGGTACTTGGACCCTGAATACTGCCAAACCTTCGTTGTCACTACCAGGGCCGAAAACTTTGCGTGAGTGCTAGTTGGCGTGCTTTCGTGTGGAAGTACCGGTACATACATGCATTTCATGGGGTTTCGGTGTATTGAGTGATGCTGTATTAAATTTGGCGTCTATTGGGCTCATAATGCAGTCAGCGTTTGGTGTGTGTGCCTTTTGATTGCTGCAGGCTTGGAGTTGTCATCCTTGAGCTAATAACGGGTCAACCACCGGTGGTGGAAGAAGAGGTGGTGGCGAAGGCCGGTCGAAACACCGTGAAGATTGTTACGCTTGCACAATGGGTAAGGCACGCAACTGCTTTATTGCTCATTTCAACAACGGCTCTGCTTGTTGTGCTGGAGGTGGTAGTTGCTCTTGATTCTACCGTGAGACTTTTTTCTCTTCCTCACTATCTCCACAAATCAAGCCTCCATGCTTTCTTACCTAACACCCCACCCTGGTGCGCAGGCTATACCCAAAATCAAGGATGAAAATTTCGGGTTGATAGTGGATGGACGGATGGAAGAGTACCCTGCTGACAAGCTGGAGATCCTGACAAAGATTGCTTCAGAGTGTTTGAACCCTCTCCGTAGAAATCGGCCTGACATTGGACCGGTGGTAGCTTGGTTGAATGATCTGTGCAGCTCTGATGCTGCCATTCTTCTGAAGCTTAATTCTGTGTTCAAATAGTGGAGTGTGTTGTCAGTGCAGTGCGCCTGGCACATGTCATTCCAAGGTGAATAAAGAGGCATTAGTGCATGCCAATATGCTTCTCTGGCTGTGTAGCTGCTTGAATAAACAAGACTACGAGAAACGTTCCGTTTTTTTCGAATTAGGGCTACACCCACCCCCGAAACCTGTAACTCCGGCTGAATTGCTACATAGTCACAGTTCCAAATGCATCTGAACAATTGTTCCCCCTTGAAATTGCCGAAACCAGCCAATCCCTGCCAGCTGGCCGTAAAAAAGCGGCAGGATTGCTGTTCCGCCGCTATAATCATGGTCACAGTAAAGATGCCCGAACCTGAACCACGTACCCCGTCGGTCGACCTCGGCTCGGACATGCCGGGCCAAGCCGACACCAGCTGACCTTACATGACCCAATTTCAAGGACGCTTCAATCAAGCCAACAAGACCTGCAAGTGCCACCTTCCAGCCCAGGCACCAGTTTCTTGACTTTCTAACTCTAGATACCTGCATCCAGTTTACAGCGCATGTTTCACTCCCAGTCATCTGTTAGTGAGTTACTGTCCGCGCCGATTGCGAGCAGCCGTAGGCTGTAGAGTTTCGGCTTTTATATTGACTCAGAAGTCATCGTGTGAAGCGAGCAGCCTTAGGTTCTGGAGCCTTGACTTCGGAGCGGCCCGTGAAACTCAAAGCTCTTAGGCCTAGACCCGACAATGGCCACAGACCCTGTCGGATTCGTGATGTAGTTATTTTTATTTAGTAACGGATCGCGATGGGGGCGTGTTTTTCCATACAAGAAGAGCCTCTTTCTCCTCGACAAAATAAAAAGCCGCGCTCTCCCGGTACGTTGGAGACGATGCCGTGGCAGTCGCTGTATCGCATTTTCAGTAAAGGATCTATCCAGAACATGTCTGCTTGCTGCGGAATGACGAGCTTGATGGTAGAAGTATGACCGAGAGTGGATGGCGCATGAGGGAACGGGCAATTGTATTCTTGAAGGAAAATGACTTTCCCGTCGAGTTCCGCATGAATGAAGCATGAGCAAAGAACGTTTTTTTCGAAAGCGCACAGAAGTCTAACCCCCAAGCACATCTTACTCACTTGTGCACTACCGGGCTATGAAAAACGACCGGCACCTTCGCAATAAACCCGCACTTACTCGTCCCCTCCCCTCGGCCCCCCCACCGCACCCAACTCCTCTGTATCGTGCGCCAGCCCCAAAAAGCTCCTCTCGTGCTGGCAGGGCGTCACGGAGATCCCGAGGCTCGTCGCTGGGCGGCGGAGAGTCCGAAGCAGCGCACGAGTACACTGTAGCTCCCGTTGACGTTATTTTGGGGCTCAAGCCGGCGGGTAGCGCGGGCGTGGGTGCCGACCAAAGGGGTTCCGACGCGGAACGGCTCGGTAATGGGGTAGCTAGTAGCGGGGCAGTTAATAGCGGGGTAGTCAGTGAGCAGCAGAGCGCGGCGCCTGGTGGTGCGCCACGTAATGGCTCTCGATCACCCCGTCTGTCGCCACGTCAGCCACCCGCGTTTCAGCGGTCGCCAGAACAGCAGCCGCCGCACCACCAGTCGTCGCACCAGCAGTCGCCATATCAGCAACCGCCACATCAACAGACGCCACATCAACAACCGCCACATCAGCAGACGCAATATCAGCAGCCGCCACATCAGCAGCCGCAATATCAGCAGCCGCCACATCAGCAGCCGCCACATCAGCAGCCGCAGCAGGACGCGGTCCCGCAGCAGGAGTCTAGCCAAGGACCGAGTCCAAGCCTCAGCCATACTTCCAGCGTCGGCCCGAGCCAGACTGCGAGCCTCGGAAGCCAGGGAGGGACCTCTGGGAGCGTGCAGATAGCCGCCACTCTGCTTCAATTTTCTTATAACGAATTGTTTGAGGCTACTAACGGGTTCAGCAGGGAGGGGAAGCTTGGGGAGGGCGGATTCGGGAGCGTGCACAAGGGGAGGGTGCATGTCGGTGGGGGGAGGATGGAGGAAGTTGCTGTGAAGGCCCTGAATCAGGAGGGTTACCAGGGCGAAGCGGAATGGGTGGTGAGTTTATGGTGTGAGTGGGTGGAGTGGGATGAGAGTGGATTGAGAGGGTTGAGATGGGCTGAAATTTGTGTTTCTAAGTGTGGGTTATTGCGTGACCGGAGGATGGAGGACGTTGCTGTGAAGGCGCTGAACCAGGAGGGCTACCAGGGCGAGGCGGAGTGGGTGGTAAGTGTGCGGTGTGAGTGGGTGAAGTGGGATGAGAGTGGGTTTTGAGGTGTGAGGTGGATGGGAATGGCTTTGGACTGTGAAGATGGAGGACGTTGCTGTGAAGGTGCTTGCTGATAGGGGAGCATCTGGTAACCAGTGGCTCTTTACCCATTTCCCCACCCCCACAGACCGAAGTGAAGTACCTAGGAGCGCTGGGGCACCCGAACCTGGTGCGGCTGGTGGGGTACTGCATGGAGGGCGAGCACCTGATAGCTTATTGCCCTAACCTCCTCTCCACCGTTTCCCACCCCTCCAGACCGAAGTGAAGTACCTGGGCGCGTTGGGGCATCCCAACCTGGTGCGGCTGGTGGGGTACTGCATGGAGGGCGAGCACCTGATAGCTTATTGCCCTAACCTCCTCTCCACCGTTTCCCACCCCTCCAGACCGAAGTGAAGTACCTGGGCGCGTTGGGGCATCCCAACCTGGTGCGGCTGGTGGGGTACTGCATGGAGGGCGAGCACCTGATAGCTTATTGCCCTAACCTCCTCTCCACCGTTTCCCACCCCTCCAGACCGAAGTGAAGTACCTGGGCGCGTTGGGGCATCCCAACCTGGTGCGGCTGGTGGGGTACTGCATGGAGGGCGAGCACCTGATAGCTTATTGCCCTAACCTCCTCTCCACCGTTTCCCACCCCTCCAGACCGAAGTGAAGTACCTGGGGGCGTTGGGGCATCCCAACCTGGTGCGGCTGGTGGGGTACTGCATGGAGGGGGAGCACAGGCTGCTGGCGTACGAGCTGATGGAGTATGGCAGCTTGGAGCGATACCTCTTCCGCCGTGAGTGTGTGACTTTATGAGTGTGTGACTGTGTGCATGGGGCATATGGCAGTGTATGAATGCATGGGGGTGGCTGGTGGGGTACTGCATGGGGGGGGGGGCACCGGCTGTTGCCATACGAGCTCATTGAGTATGGCAGCTTGGAGCGATACCTCTTCCGCCGTGAGTAGTTCATCCAGCATGTGACTGTATGAGTGTGTGATTGTATGAGTGTGTGACTGGTTGACTGTGTGGGGCATATCACAGTGTCTGACTGCCTGGTGGGGTACTGCATGGAGGGCGAGCACCGGCTGCCGGCATACAAGCTGATGGAGTATGTGACTGTATGGGGCATATGGCAGTATGTGACTGTATGGGGCATATGGCAGTATGTGACTGTATGGGGCATATGGCAGTATGTGACTGTATGGGGCATATGGCAGTATGTGACTGTATGGGGCATATGGCAGTATGTGACTGTATGGGGCATATGGCAGTATGTGACTGTATGGGGCATATGGCAGTTTGTGACTGTATGGGGCATATGGCAGTATGTGACTGTATGGGGCATATGGCAGTATGTGACTGTATGGGGCATATGGCAGTATGTGACTGTATGGGGCATATGGCAGTGTATGAATGCATGGGGGTGGGTGGGGAGGGTACTGCATCAAGGGAAAGCACCGGCTGCTGGCATACGAGCTCATGGGATACGGCAGCCTCGAACGATGCCTCTTCAGACGTGAGTGTGTGACTGCGTGCAGTGCGTGACTGTTTGGGGTCTCTGTGTGACTGCATGGGGCGTGTGCGTGACTGCATGGGGGTGGAGTGGAGGGGGGAAAGGCCGCTTGCTGACTGCCGAAAATCAAACGAACAAGATAACTTCCACTCTTATGTGCGAACCAAGGCTCACATGTCTGATATGAACCAAGGCTCACATGTCTGATATGAACCAAGGCTCACATGTCTTCGCTCACCCCTTTCTTTCCCTTCGTTCCCCTCTTTACAATCACGCCAGGCAACGTCACACCTCTCCCCTGGAACATCCGCATGAAGGTGGCTCTGCATGCGGCAAGGGGGCTGGCCTACCTGCACGAGGAGACAGAGGCGCAGGTCATTTACCGTGACTTCAAGGCTTCCAACATTCTCGTGGACAGGGTGAGTGAGAGTGAGTGCTGTTGCGATGTGAGGTGACTGTTGAGTCGACTCAAAGGTGGCTCTGCATGCAGCCACGGGACTGACCTACCTGCATGAGGAGACGGAGGCTCAGGTCATCTACAGAGATTTCAAGGCGTCTAACATTCTCGTGGACAGGGTGAGTGGGTGCTGCTGCTGTGGTTATTGCGTTTGGTGCATGGGGTGAGAGCGGTGCTCTGTTTAGCCTTGGGCTGGCCTACCTGCACGAGGAGACAGAGGCGCAGGTCATCTATCGAGACTTCAAGGCTTCTAACATTCTCGTGGACAGGGTGAAGGCGTGCGTGCTGTTTCACTCAGTGAGCTCTGCATGCACTGCTGTGTAGTTTTGAGGCGCCTCAAAACTGAACTTCACTCAGTGAGCGCTGCGCTGCTGTGTTCCTCCTTGGGCTGGCTTACCTGCATGAGGAGACGGAGGCTCAGGCCATCTACCGTGGTTTCAAGGCATCAAACATTCTTGTGGACAGGGTGAGTGATTGCTGTTGCTATCATGCTGAGTGCAGAGTACTGACACACATGTGTCAACACGGGTCATGGGGACATACCACTATGCTGCTCCCCCTCCCTCCCTACCGCCCCTCCAATTCCCCGTCCTCAGGAGTTCAATGCAAGGCTCTCAGACTTCGGTCTGGCCAAGGATGGGCCGGTGGGCAGCGTCAGTCCCTCCCTTCCACTGCCCCGGCTTCCCCCACCCACCCCCCCCCTCTCCCCCCTCCTCCTCCCTATTCCCCCCTCTCAGGAGTTCAACGTGAAGCTATCAGACTTCGGTCTGGCCAAGGATGGGCTGGTGGGTAGAGACAGTCTCTCCTCTTCATCCCTTCCCCCCCCCCCCCCCCCGTTGCCCCCTTTCCCACCTGACTATTCCCCCTCTCAGGAGTTCAATGCAAAGCTCTCAGATTTCGGTCTGGCCAAGGACGGGCCGGTGGGCAGTGACACGCATGTGTCAACGCGGGTCATGGGCACATACGGCTATGCTGCTCCCGAATACATGCTCACTGGTATTTTTTTATATTATTTGATTGAAAATCACAGAGGGAATGACACATGTGGCACGGATGGCTCAGGTGCTATCCTCACGGATGACCCGACCATCCTCACAGTCAGCCATTCCCTGTTCCACCTGCTCCCATCTTCCTCTCCTTCCTTTTCTTTACTGACCCCGACCATCCTCACCTGCATACCTTCCTTTTCTTTACTCCTCCAACCCCCTTCCCCTTCGCCAGCCCGACTGTTTGCCCAATCTCACACACTGTACTTACCGCTCCTCAACCTCCCATTCCTCACTCCACCGCTTCTCCTCACTTCCACACTTTCCTTCCGCCTTTTCCCTCCGCTCCTTTCCCCTCTCTAACCCTTGTATCACGCTCCTGCCTCCCCTCAGGTCATTTGACTGCCAAATCTGACGTCTACAGTTTCGGCGTTGTCCTCCTTGAAATAATTTCCGGGCGGCGGGCAGTTGAACGAAACTTTCCGCCTGGGCAGCAGAACATCGTGGAGTGGTCCGCGCCGTTCTTTGCGGACCGTCGGATGCTCGTGAAGATCGTCGATCAACGGCTGGAGAACCAGTTCTCAGTGAAAGGGGTGGTTAAAGCGGCCAGACTGGCTTATAACTGCCTGAAAAAAGACCCCAAGGAAAGACCACTCATGTCTGATGCTGTTCAGACCCTCTCTGTGCTTCAAAACTTGACAGACTTCCCCCCACCGCTACCAGCAGTACAACCAACACCATCAGCACCATCAGCATCACCACCAGCTGCAGCGGCAGCAGCAGCAGCAGCAGCAGGCTGGCATATGACTGTCTAAAAAAAGGACCCCAAGGAAAGACCACTCATGTCTGATGCTCTCCAGACCCTCTCTGTGCATCAAAACTTGACAGACTTCCCCCCATCATTACCAGCAGTACAATCAGCACCATCAGCATCACCACCGCCAGCAGCAGCACAGTCAGCAACAACAGGAGCAGCATAGGCTGGAGTTGGCCACAACATTGCTATCTATGTGTCTTCTGAGGCGCCTAAAAGTTAGGCGACGTTTGAGGCTCTTCAACAGTGGCTGCAGCACCAGCAGTCAGCACCAACAGGAGCAGCATAGGCTGGGATTGGCCACACATTGCTATCTAGGCCAATGTTGGGATTTCTGACTTGCTCTTGCAAGGGGCTCTTAGTAATTAAGTTATGCACTGTTATGTTCACAAGCATCTTCGAAGGTTGAAGATGCTCGCAACTGCAGGCGGATATTTTTGTTTCAATGTACCAGTTCTCATTTGATGTGAAGTAACCTTGAGATGTCAGGAGAATTTGACAAAAAACATTTGTTACATTACACTCAACCGTACAATGTGTGCCAGACAGGATTACTGCAAGACATTAATGTTGAAGGCCAAGGTGTACAAATGTTTTGATGGTAACCGTGCATCAAACAAACATGGTAACCGGGTATCAATCAAGCAGACGGCCCACTGCCCTTCGAGGGACCACAGCGCTCCACCATCACATCATACAGCTGCTTGCCGTTCTGTGGTAGATGGGGTGATGGAAGGGGGGAGATAGGAGGAACGAGGCTGGTGATGGGCCGAGGTGAGGGTACACTCATATTTGCACATGCCCTCATACACACGTACACTCATATACACATATACACACATACACATAGACTCACTCATATACACGTACACTCATATACACATACACTCAAATACATATACACTCATATCCACATATGCTTCCACATCCACATAGACTGCTGGTGAGCACCTACCGCAATGATGGGGAAGAAGTGCACCTGCCCCTCGGGGCGAGTCTGGGTCTCCTTGAAATGAATACAGCACAACAAGAACCACACGCACACTTGCACTAAGAACCACATTACACATATCCAGCAGCGCCGCTGCACCAACCGCAGCCGCAGCGAGCACGTACCGCGATGATGGGGAAGAAGTGCACCTGCCCCTCGGGGCGAGTCTGGGTCTCCTTGGAACACAAGGACGTGGGAACAAAAGAACATGTACACTCATGCAAGTACAGTCATATACACAAATAAATCCACATCCACATACACTGCTGGAGACACAATGCTGAGCTGAGAACGTACCGCAATGATGGGGAAGAAGTGCACCTGCCCCTCGGGGCGGGTCTGCGTCTCGCTGAAGGCATTCTCAGGAGTGAAACAAGAGAGTTCAAAATGTGTATACACGTGGTGCTGCAGCAGCACTGACGAGCTAACCACGTACCGCAATGATGGGGAAGAAGTGCACTTGCCCCTCGGGGCGGGTCTGGGTCTCCTTGAAATAGACCAGCACAGGGAATGACGGCCACCAGAACTCCCAGTTGACGAACGTGTCGTACCTGGTGTGAGGGAGGGGAGGGGAGGGTGAGAAAGGGAGAGCGAGAGGGGGGATGTTGTAAGTCAAGTCAAAAGATGGCAACAGCATGGGGAAGGACGGCCAAGAGAACTCCCAGTTGACAAATGTGTCGTACCTGGTGTGAGGGAGGGGAGGGGAGAGCGAGAGGAGCGATGGGGGGAAGAAGGGAATTAGAAAGGCTCGATTAATCACTCCACAACATGCAACATTCCACATTCTCCCTCCGGAAAATACCACTAGAATCTCGATGACTCGATACTGTCCTGCACCCGAAGACCACGCCAGCCACTCACCTCCACTTGTTCTCGCCGCCCACGAACACGTTCTCCCCAGACGACTCAAGCCGCTGCCCTACGCGCACCTCCAGTGCCTCCTCACATGCTGCCACACCATCGCATCGCACTCTGGCATTCATGCTCACGTGCTGCCTCACTGAAGACACAGACCTGAACCAACTGAAGCCCGGGCCAGCCACTCACCACCACTTGTTCTCGCCGCCCACGAAGACGTTCTCTCCAGACGACTCCAGCTGCTGCCCTATGCGCACCTCCAGTGCCTCCTCCCCGAACACAAAGCGCACCCGCGTGGTCTGATATAGTGGGGGTTGGGGTGGGTATGGATGGGTTGAGTGCGAAGGGAAGGTTTATGACGTGACACGAGGGTTTCAGCATGACACATCCAGTGCCTCCTCCGTGAACACAAAGTGCACACGCGTAGTCTGCGCATGGGTGGGGGGGGCGGAAGGGGGAATTCATTAATCATGCCATGCCATGCCATGCCATGCCATGCCATGCCATGCCATGCCATGCCATGCCATGCCATGCCTTCATGCTGGCCTATGCGCACCTCCAGTGCCTCCTCGTAAACACAAAGCGCACGCGCGTGGTCTGCACATGGGTGGGGGTGAAGGGCACGGATTGACAATTCTCGAAAATACCCTTCAGCATCATGGGTGAAAGGCACGGATTGACACATGCAGGACATGAGACGACGGCCATCAGCGTCACGCTGACGTGAGGACATCACCTGGAGACCACCTGAAGACCACCTGAAGACAACCTGAAAACCACCTGAAGCGGATGGACGCACCTGGAAGGCGAGCAGAGCCCCGAGCAGGCCGATGGGAGCAGCTGCGAGCTTATTGTCCGCCAGGAAGAGAGCGCCTGATACACCTGGTGAGATGGGGAGGTTTGTGAAATGGTTGGGTGGGGTTGGGGTTGAGTGGGGGGTGTGGGGGTTGAAGCGTCTCGTCTCAGCAGGCCGATGGGAGCAGCTGCGAGCTTGCTGTCCGCGAGGAAGAGAGCGCCGGACACACCTGGTGAGATGGGAAGGTTTGTGAAAAGGTTGGGTACGGTGAGGTGGGGTTGATGGGGTTGAGTGCGGTTGTGTGGGTCGACGCGTCTCATCCCAGCAGGCCGATGGGAGCAGCAGCGAGCTTGTTGTCCGCGAGGAAGAGGGCCCCGGACACTGGTGGGATGGCGAGGAGGGATGGTGAAAGGGTTAGGTGGGGTTGGGGTTGCCGGGGGGGGGGGGGGGGGGGAAGTGGGAAGGTAGGGTGTGGTTTGGAGAGGAGTGTGAGGAAGATGGAAGATCCGAAGTCATGCCATCAAGGTTGTCAATGTCATCGAGATTGAAGACACCAGAGAGCACGGCACACGGCGCACGGCGCACGGCACACGGCGCACGGCACACGGCACAGCACGCACCGAGCAGCACGATGGGGATGCGCGGGTCGGGTTCGACCACCACCGTGCCCTTGCCCGTCCCCTTGGGCGACGCGGCCGCCACCACCGCCGCGCCTCCCGCCGCGTGCTGCCGTTGCGCGTGCACCTTAGCGCGACTCACGGGCGTGCCCTGAACGAGAACCGCGGACGGGGCAGTAGAGGGGGAAACGGGGGCGCGAATGAAGAATGGCGGAAATATCGGAGACGGCAGCAACGGCGGAGAATTGCGGAAACGGCGGAAATTGCTGAAAACGGTGGAAACTGTGGAAAGGGGGGAGGGACGGGGAGAATGGAATGTGCGCCGACGCAAGAAGAACGGTAGGCGTGCGTCATTTTACCCGATACGAATTCGCAGTTTCTACCAGTTTTAGCGGAACGCGAATGTCGGACCTGAAACGCGCTGCCGAGGGGACTCAGTCCCCGCGACCTCAGGGACGGCGTGAAACTGGCGCCATTCGCGAGGATATTTCGCCGAGGTGGCAGGACGGGCGCGGCGATGGCGGCGGGAAGCACGGCGGAGGAAACGAGCGACGCCATGGCAGCGGCGGGGACTGGTATGCGCGGGGCGACCAACAGTCGTAAGGCGCAATGTGACCTTGTTAGGCGGTTCTGATTATTACAATAAATATTTCCAGAAATTGCAAGTGTTGCCGTGCTCTTCGTTCGATAAGGTCACAGCAAATCTGCATCTTTATTTTTGTATGTGTGTTTGACAGTGACATGTACAGTGTGATGGTTCATGCGAAGCAATTTGTCCGAGCCGCGTCAGCATGTCCCACGCAGGAGGCACCAGTCCCACTGACCTCTGACACATCGTCAAAAGCCTATCGCCACGTGGCCCGCTCTTGTACATCCCTCGGCTGCAGGAGAGCGGGAGGGCACCTTGGGAAGAGACTGTGACAGTACCCCAAGCTTTGGAATTCGCGATATAGCTGGCGAAACTCGTCAAGGTAATGTTGCGGTCGCGGCAACTCCCGTGCGTCGGGATTGAAAGTTTGGACGAACGTCGTGAAGATTTCGCACACGTCTTCGCCCAAGCCAACTTCGTGGTTTCCCTCTTTTTTTCCTCCTCTCATCCCCTTTTCCTCTCCGAACTGTTCCTCTGTTTCCCAGTCTGATCCTGACAGTCACTCAAGATCGGTTGTAGTCATTGAGCTAGCTCTTCCCTCTTCTTGTCCCAAAACCTTGGGAATTGCTGTGCCTAGGACCGGAATCTGGTTGCTTGGTGGTTAGGCTGGCTGCTCTCCGCACTTGCCGCGTCGTGACCCTGCTGGGTCGAGTTGCAGTTTCCAACCATGGACTTCGGTCGCATAGCGCGTCAGTCTGTAGCGCCGGTGGCCATCCTCGTCGTAGCAGTGGCATGGCGTGCGATCGCGCATTCCGCGGTAGTCATCGTGATCGCAGCCCTTTTCGGAGCTCTTTTCGCGTTTTTCTCTAGGAGGAAGAGCGATGAGTCGTCGACTGTCTCCACCGCAGCAACGCCTGAGAAACGCGTTGCCGCGGAGCCGTCTGTTTCCGCAGTTGAGCCAGAGAAACCCACCGTCGCCGCCGCCGCTGCTGCTGTTCCTTCCATTGTGCCTTCTGCGGCCAAGCCTCCTGCTGCAGGTAAGACCGACGTTATACAAGCTGATTTGGAAAGAGGCGATTTCAGAATTCAACGAAGGAATTCAGTAAAGAATCAACAAAAATTTCTGCTAACTGGTTCAGTATTTTGCTAGAGAATGGATTGCATAAAAGTGACTTACAGTGCCTAAATGTGGGCAATCGCTCCTTCCGAATCCTTATTATTTATGCCTTTTCAAGACGCTTGCGGCTTAATTCCGAATGCGTCCTTGTTACGAGTGCGTCCTTATTCCGGTGTCCCTTATTCCAATGGCGTCTTTCTTTCTTAACCAGGAGGAGTCATCCCGCTGGCCGCCGGGCGTCGTCCCCCTCCCAAGGCAGAAGACAGTAAGTGGCGACGCAGATCCTCTCTAGCGTGCTTGAAACACCGTCATCTGTGAGACCAGAACGCGCGTAGAATTCATCCTTCTTTTGCCGCTTCAGTCACTCGCGTCGGCACACGCGATCAACTGCAATCTTGACACCGCCGCTTTTCGCTTTTCACTTAACACCCTTTTTTTTTCTCAGCTCGTGTTTTCACTATGGCCTCTGTTGTCCGCGTCTTTGCGAGCAGAGCTGGGAATCACGCAGTTCATCTGGCCGTATGGCGGGTCCAAGGTGGAGGTGGTGGGGGATTTCTCCGGCGGCGTGCCGGTCGCGATGAAGCCGTCCGCTGCTAACCCCGGGCAGTTCTACATCGATTACACGTGTCCGCAGGGACCGATTGAGTACAGGTGCGTTTGTGAGACGGATCGAAAGAAGTAAATTCCAAGTCGACTTAGAAGTTGCCTCGTGCCGGTCGTCACGAAGCCCTCCGTTGCTAACCCCGGGCAGTTCTACATCGATTACACGTGCCCCCAGTGTCCGATTGAATACAGGTGCGTTTGAGTGCCAGCTAGTTAGTGCTCGCGTGGGCTTTGTTGCTGTACGCTGCTAACCCCAGGCAGTTCTACATCGGCTGCACGTGCCTGCAGTGACCGATCGAGTACAGGTGTGATTCTTTGACCCTAAGAAACTGAAATGTAATGACGTCTGGTAAAGTGCTTGTTGTTTCCACTCACCGCCCGTTTTTCCCGCACGAATACCCATCCCCGCTATCTCAGCTTCATCGTGGACGGCGAGTCTCGTGTCGATCCCGAGTCGCCCACTAACGAGGACGGCAGCAGGAACGTGGCGATGGTGCGGCGCGACCTGTTCGAGTCGCTGGAGGCGATGATGCGGCAGCGCATCCTGCTGCTGGACGGCGCCATGGGCACCATGATCCAGCGCCACAAGCTGCGCGAGGAGGATTTCCGCGGTGACCGTTGGAAGAACCACGCGAACGACCTTAAGGGCAACAACGACATCCTCGTTATAACGCGCCCCGATGTTATCGAGGGGATTCATACGGAGTACCTGGACGCGGGGTCGGATATTATCGAGACGAATACGTTCAACGGGACGTGTATCTCCCAGGCGGATTATGAGTTGCAGGCGGAGGAGGAGGTGGTGCTGATTAACATCGAGGCCGTGAAGGTCGCGCTGCGCGCCACGGCGAAGGCGATGCAGAAGGACCCGACGCGCCCGCGCTTCGTGGCGGGCGCGATCGGCCCGACGAACAAGACGCTGTCCGTGTCGCCGAGCGTGGAGAACCCCGCGTTTCGCGCGTGCACGTTCGACGAGATCGTGGACGCGTACAAGATGCAGGTGCGCGCGCTGCTGGAAGGCGGCGCGGATATCCTCCTCGTGGAGACGATCTTCGACACGCTGAACGCCAAGGCGGCGTTGTATGCGGTGGATTTGGTGTTTGAGGAGATTGGGTACGACGTGCCGGTGATGATCAGCGGTACGATTGTGGACAACAGCGGGCGGACTCTGAGCGGGCAGACTGGCGAGGCGTTCTTGGTCAGCGTGTCGCCCGTACGCGCGCGCGACGGCGATTGGACTCAACTGCGCGCTGGGAGCGAGGGACATGCGTCCATACGTGGACACCATCAACAAGGTAGGCGCGAATAGGACGAGACAGGTTTGAGGCACATTCAAGTGTACTTTGAGTCGAGTGAACAGATAGCGAGGGACATGCGCCCATACGTGGATACCATCAACAAGGTAGGCGCGAATAGGGCAAGTCATTTTTCAGCCCAGCTTTGAGCCGCCTTGCGTCCCGCCGTTTTCTGTACCATTGCCCCGATTTTCCCCTTGCTCCCATTGCCCCATTTCCCCCGTCCCCGTCCCCCATTTCCCTCTTTTCCCCGCCCCCCATTTCCCTCGTTCCTCTGTCCCCCATTTCTCCCTTACCCCCATTCTCTCATCCCTCTCTTACCCTCATTTTTCTTGTTTTCCCCTCCGGCCGCGCAGCTCACGGACTCGTTCGTGATCTGCTACCCGAACGCGGGTCTGCCCAACACGTTCGGCGGGTACGACGAGACGGCAGAGCAGTTTGCGGAGAACGTGCGGGACTTCATCACTGGTGGGCTGGTGAACGTGCTGGGCGGCTGCTGTGGCACCACTCCCGATCATATCAACGCCGTCTCTAAAATCGTGAGTGCGGGGATCGTGAGGTGCGAGGGCTAGGGGGGAACGCCAGAGCAGTTCGCGGAGAACGTACGTGACTTGCTGGTGAACGTGCTGGGGGGCTGCTGCGGCACCACCCCTGGTCACATTAACGCTGTCTCTTAAGATTGTGAGTGCTGTGGGAATGGGGTGGGGTGGGGAGCTGTGGGAATGGGGTGGGGTGGGGATGGGGGAAGGGGGGGGAACGGGAGTGCTGTGAGCTGGAAGTGAGAGGGAACGCGCAGGACTTTATCACGAGCGGGCTGGTCAATTTGCAGGGCAGCTGCTGTGGCACCACTCCCGATCACATCAACGCCGTCTCCACCACGTGCTGGGGGCTGCTGTGTCACCACCCACGTGCTCTCTCTGCAATCGTGAGTGCTGAGGTGTTGTGGACTCTAGGGGCAAAGTGCTCGCGATTCTGTGGATAAGACTGCTAATGGAGGGGGGAAATGCGCGTTCAGAAACTTGAACCCTCAACCCTCGACCCAATGGCAGGCGGAGGGAGCGCGTCCCCGTCCCCGCCCCACAGTGCACAACCTGCTGGGAGTGAGCGGGCTGGAGCCCTTACTCTCCACCCTCATCCTTGGACCCTCAACCCTGATTTTTTCAACCTCTGGTTCCCCCCTGGCAGGCGGAGGGAGCGCGTCCGCGTCCCCGCCCCACAGTGCGCAACCTGCTGTGAGTGAGCGGGCTGGAGCCCTTCAACTACACGCCTTACCCTCAACCTCCTGAACCTCTTTCAACTTTTGTTTTCCCCTGGCAGGCGGAGGGAGCGCGTCCCCGTCCCCGCCCCACAGTGCGCAACCTGCTGCGAGTGAGCGGCCTGGAGCCCTTCAACTACACGCCAGAGACCATCCCCTTTATAAACATTGGGGAACGGTGCAACGTGGCGGGGTCAAGCATCTTCAAGAAGGCGGTGATGGCGGGCAACTGGGACAAGGCGCTCAGCATCGCTATTGCTCAGGTGGAAGCAGGGGCGCAGGTCATCGATATCAACTTTGACGAGGGTCTTCTCGATTCTGTGGCTGCCATGACCCGCTTCGTCAACCTCCTGGTCTCCGAGCCTGATGTGAGTTGCACTGGGGAGGGCGGCAACGGGTGCAAGGCAGGGCAAGTGGGACAGCTTGTGTGGGTCAAGGAAGATGCGGCAAGGAGTGTACCAAACATAATCAAGTTCCGTGTGGTGGAGGCAGGGCTGTGGCCAAGGTGCCGTTTATGGTCTATTCGAGCAAGTTCCACGTGGTGGAGGCGGGGCTGTGGCCAAGGTGCCGTTTATGGTCTATTCGAGCAACTTCCACGTGGTGGAGGCGGGGCTTAAGTGCCCTTGTGCCCTGTGATGAGCTCTCACTCCCTGCCTGACACTGCTTCCCCTCCTCACCCACCCCCCCTCACCCCAGGTG